GCTTCAAATTCATCCTATACTTAATACTCGACTGCGATTTAGGAGCCATAATCTTGGGTCGAAGATTTGCAAACTCCGGTTCAAGATAAACCGGAGAGAAGGCCTCCAAGCTTAACTCCGTCGGGAAAAGCACTCCGGTGAAGTTATAAAACGCGTGAGGATTGCTTCCTCCGACGAGAACCCTCCCGTCACGTAGAAGAACCGCCGCCGAGTGATACATTCTCGGGATCTTACTCGGGTTTAACGACTCAAACCTCGAGTTAACCGGATTCTCGGGATGGTATAGATCCGGTACGAAAACCGGCTCACGACCAAGCTCCCAAGCAGCTGAGCCAGAAGAACCACCGTTGATAAGCAAGACATCTCCGTTAGGCAAAAGCGTCATATCTCCCATGACTCTAGCACGTGGCATCTTCTCCACCGTCCATTGAGGATTCTCGTCGTTGATCTTGATCCTCGCACACGTGTCAAGCGCTCTTACGAACGTGTTCCTCCTCGCGAGGATAAACGATCCTTTCGGTGCACCTCCGCACACCAGAACCTCCGCGTCGATTTTGACCGCTTCAAGATTCTTCAACGGTAATAACACGGCCGAGCCAGTGCTCGGGTAACTCCTCGGATCGCCGCCGGGGATCGCCGGAAAAGTTTTCACCACCGTGTTTTTGGTATAGTCTAGTAATATCGCTCGGTTGTTAGCGAATATAAATAAATTACCATCGGTGTTTAGAAACACGTAAGGATAAAGATTGTTCTCTTGTCCTCGATCATTAGTCTCGGCCAAAAACGGCAAAGCGATAACGTTAGGAGATGTCGTTTTGGGGTAAAACTCGTAGTTAAACTGTCTTGTACCTCCGACGATGATTTGTTTACCGTCGGGAAGAATATGGTTAGAAGAGTACCATCTCCTCCTGGCTAAACCGTTGTTAATCTCGGCCCAATCGCATCGATCGTTGTTACAAGGAGTGAATGTTCTCGCTTTTAACTCTCCGTCCCGGTCTCCACCGGTTTGGACGAGAACACCATCCGGTCTAACCGAACCGGAGGAGCACCATGTGTTGGATTGTACGGTTAAGGGACGGACGGTGTTTGATGCGACGTCGTATTCTATGGAGTGAGCTGTGCAGTCGATTTTGGAAACTGCGTCGTTTGGGTTGTTGCGGCAGTTCCCGTTAGGGAGAGAGATGTTCGATGGGCCGAAATTGGTTCGGTCGAACATTACTACACGGTCGTTGCGGAGGAGCTGCATGTGCATCGCGGAGATTCCTACGTTGGGGAGGAGGAGATTCCATTTTCCTCCGGCTGCGAACGACACGTGGCGTGTTAGGAGGAGTTCGAGTGAGGTCAGGAAGAGAGCATAGAATATTGTGGCCCGTGCTGCCATTTCTTGTTCTTGTTTGATCTTTTTTGTGCTTTTTTGTGTTTTGTATGTTTGTGATGAAAATGTATAGTAGCTTGATGGTTTATATAATGGTCGATGGGTCATTGTTAAACGTTAATCATCCTATGTAGTCATTAAAAAAATAATAATACATTAGTTCCAAAATTTGTAAAAGTCCAGTGTATTATTAAGTGAGAGATGTCGTGATCTTTTTGTTGTCTTTTTTATTGAAGTACTTGTATTGTCCTGATTTTAGTTCCATTTTAATGATCACAATTAGTTTTATCCTAATGATTATCCTGATTTTGTTTATTAACTTAGCTAGCTGAGATAGAAATATGGAAATAAATATGTGATCCATTTGGTTAACTCTCCGAACTTTTTTCTTTTCTTTTCGATTAGAGACATCAACTATTTATCTGAGAATGATTGCATTCATATGATTATTGAGAATCGCTAGCTAGTACAGATACACAGAATATGATATGTCGTGCAAGGAACACGTCATTTAGATTATTGGAATTACATTATCCTCTAGTACTGTCCGAGGGACTTGATACAGAATTATCGATTATTTGAGATTAATTAGTTTGAGAGACTTCAAGGACAAATTAATGATGGAGATGTTGTGTCAACATCAAACAATAGTCCGTTACGTTTTAAGTTCAAAAAGAAAAAGTCCGTTACGTTTAAATTACTTCCCCCAGGGACTATTACTTGTGGTTCGTTCATTCGTTGCATGTTATTATGTTTAAAATTCTGGTCGTCGCTATTTTTCTTGTTATAAATAACAGAACATATACTAAAATAATAAACAAACGCATGTCAATTTTTAGCAAAAGATTCATGCACTGATATATGCATACATATATCAAAATCATTCTATTTGTTCCAACGGTGTAATTCCCGTTTTTATATTTGCAAAAAATATATATTTTTGATAATTTCTTGGCTGAATTTTATAACAACCTTTTTAGCAAAACGAAATTTTATGACAAACTTATATCCAAAGGAATAAGAAAACATGTAAGTGATGTATATCCTTTCACATTTAGGATTCTCTACTTCTTATTTCTATTATCAGAACTCCCCTTTGTCAATATAGTTCCATTTGAGATCAGAGTATGATTTTTCCTAAAGAGAGTCTCAGTATTTTGTTTTTTATGAGAGAGATTAGGTGTATCCAAAGGAATAAGAAAACATGTAAGTGATGCATCTCCTTCCACATTTAGGATTCTCTACTTCTTATTTCTATTCTCAGAACTCACTCTTGTCAATATAGTTCCATTTGAGATCAGCGTCAAATTCGATGTGTTTTTTAAAGGGCCAGTATATGTTAATTAATATAATACTTTTTAGTATTTTGCTTAGATGGCATGTATCTTTCTAGTTCCCAGGGTATGATTCGTTTACAAATTCAAATAATTATAAATCACACGATATATAGAAAATATATCGTCGAATGATGACCATTTTATATAATTTGATTTCACATTATCATTGATTGACATAATTTTTTAATTACGATCATTTGTGGTTATTTAGTTTGGTAGGCTGCAAGCACGAATTAATGATGCGATGCTGTGCTAACCTCAAACATGCAACTATATATTATACAAGTCAAATCCGTTACGTCGTTTTAGTCCCCTCAGGGGCTATCTATTCTGGTTCGTTGCACGTTAATTATTTTGGTCGTCCGGCCAAGTAGTAATAAACAACAAAACGAACATATATTTTTAAGGATCGCACAACATTCATGCATATATATAAATTAATAGTATTTTGGTCCAGCGGTGTAAAGTCAAATACATATATAATATATTTGAATTCCCAACGTTGGATAGTGGATACTATATCCTGCCGTTCACAGTTATTTGTTTTCTTTAACAACAAAAAAACGTTGGATAATTAAATTTCACATACACGTCAACCACGTGCATTGGCACTACTCTTCGAAGAAAGGTGAATCGAACTCTTAGGGAATAAGGATCGGTTGGTCTCCATCTCCCCAGATCCGATTACGAGCCTAGCTACGAGGCAATCATGGCTCGGGCTCAAGCTCAGCTCCGACAACTCTATTGGAACTCTTGTTCTTTAATTTGCCTTACTCCATCAAGGAAACTCAATTGGTCTTTTTTTTGTTTACAGCCTCTACTCAACTGGTCTTTTTGGGGGCTTAACATTTGTTTTGTTGGTCTTGAGTATAAAATTAACATAGAACAAAAAGGGTTAAAATTCAAAATGAAATTTATAGATTTAATAGCAGTTATAATAAGTAAACTTACATTTTCCTATTTTGTTTGTTATAAGTCAGTTAATTTCAACTATATGTATGATTTAACTTTTTCTTATTTAAAAGTGTCCACCCATTTTATAATAATGCACACATTAATACATATCTTTTTCATTCTAACCTACCATGTACGTACATATATATATTTAGCATGTTGAGTTAATTTATTTGCAGTATTAATTATTGGCCATGCTTTTCATTTTCTTCCTTGCATATATATATAGACTCCACATATATATTTACATTTATTAATATTTAATATGTATTTCCGTATCACCAAATCTAATGATTGACCGATGACATTCCATTCATGAATGCCGATAGTTGACTCTTTATTTTATTTATGTTGTTAGTAGTATGCTTCCTATTTTTGCGTTATCACATTATTTATATACACACACATATACATATTTTTATTCTGTAATTATTAGATTTTATTCTAAGAAGTAACAAAAACAAAATATTTTGTTTCCGAAGTAGTTCATTTGATAATTTATTTTCCACCGGAACGTATACTTTTCGCTGCCTTATGACCTTATCATTATTACACATATCCAAAATTATAGGTTTGAATGTTAATTTAGTATTGAAACATGATTTAGAGAATAAGTCACAATCCACTGTCTACGTTATATGTGCCGAAGGCGGAATGGTTAGCAGGACGGCTTAAGCAATAATATAGATCATTAGACAAATTAGAAAAACATACCCGTTACATGTTAGAACATCTATAAAGTACACAATAGCTAATACTTGCTACAATCCAAAACATTAAAAGTTGCCTAATTAAACAGTAGTAAACACTGACTTATCTCGCAAATTTTGTTCTTACAAGTATTGAGATTAATAACAGGTAGTCGGTACAAATAATAGAGGTTTTTTTTTTTGTGTGAAAGAGACAAACAATAGAGTTTTCCATCGTCCTCTTCTTCTTTCCCAAGTCGTCTTAATTTGCAACATAAGAAATTGTTGTTATTTGCAAGAACGCGCCACGGTTCAAAACTATAGATGTTGTGGTATAAAAGTTCCCTATAAAAGTCTATATCTGTGGAGCACGATGGAAAACTCTAAAAACACCATGATTACTTGAAAATGTCCATACGATAATACTAATTTGAGCTAACTTAAACTAGAATTAAACTCTTCATATATATACTGTTACAGAAAGAAACTATACTTGTTCAAAGGATTATGAATGCACAAAGACTGATTATATTCTGAATCCCTACTCACTGAATTCATATATACAGTAGCAAACAAAACTTCATACTAAATAATCAATTTGGTACGTTTCGGTTTAGGTGGGTTAGCTAATTTAAGTCCGGTTTAATTATTAGACGCCGACTCACGGCCGGCAATTACTAATCAATCAAATCATTGTTGACACAAAATTGTTTTCCTTCTCTCTTTCTCTCGAAAATCTCAACTGTTTTCGCCTCTTTGCGATCAGATCTCATCGGAGACGCACAATCCACGACGAGCCATGGCTTCAGGTTTCAGCGGCGATGAAACTGCTCCTTTCTTCGGGTTCCTTGGCGCTGCCGCCGCTCTCGTTTTCTCCTGTAACATCAGCTTTCCCCATTCGCAGATCTCCAATTCATTGTTTTTTTTTTCCCCAAATTGATTCCACGATTTGGTTCTGATCCGATCCGATCCGATCCAATCGGAATATCCGTTTTTCAGGTATGGGAGCAGCGTACGGGACAGCGAAGAGCGGGGTTGGTGTGGCGTCGATGGGTGTGATGAGACCAGAGCTTGTGATGAAATCGATTGTTCCGGTGGTCATGGCTGGTGTTTTAGGTATTTATGGTCTGATCATTGCTGTTATCATCAGTACTGGAATCAACCCAAAGGCCAAGTCTTACTATCTCTTCGATGGCTATGCTCATCTCTCTTCTGGTCTGGCTTGTGGTCTCGCCGGTCTCTCCGCCGGTATGGCTATTGGAATCGTCGGCGATGCCGGTGTTAGGTGATTTTTCAAAACTATATCCTCTTAACTCTTTATTTGCTTGCACGATTTGATATATATATAGGCTATTTCGATTTTTCGACGATGTTTGACTTTTCAGAAATGTATTCTAGGCTTGCTTTAATTCTCTGTCAAATCTCGATTCTTTGTCCGTATTTAGTTACTAATATCCATAATTTTATGATCCTGTGATGAATTTGAACAGAAATGTAGTTTTTTTTTATTGATTCTATATCATGAGAGTTTGCTACTAAGTGTCACTGCTCATCAAAGGTTCTTTATTGATATGCTATGTCAAAGTCTTAACTTACTGTTAGAAATTGGTGTGAGTTGTTGTTTTAAAGATAGAATGATTGATTTGTTTAACTTAATGCTGAATGTGAGACTTAAGGATATATGAGATGGTAATTCTGCTCATGATATTGATGCGATGTGTTTATATATCAGTCGACTTAAAGAGAGATTTTTTGTCTTTGTAATCTGGTGTGTATTTGTGTGTTTGCAGAGCGAATGCGCAACAACCAAAGCTGTTTGTGGGAATGATTCTGATTCTCATCTTCGCTGAAGCTCTTGCGCTTTACGGACTTATTGTTGGTATCATCCTCTCTTCTCGAGCTGGCCAGTCTAGAGCCGAGTGAAATCATTCAAGTCTTTTCTCATATGGGCGCACGTCCTTGTAATGTTTTTGATATATTTTCAGTTTTTTCTTTTGTGGTATTGTGAGTTTTCGATTTTCTCATGAAAACAATGAACATGGGTGAAAATCATTCGACTCTGGTTCTAAACCATATATATTTTTTTTCTGTTTATTTGCACACTTATGGAACACATCAGTAAAGCAATAAAATGTATGATGATCCAATGATTTTGAAGTCTTTGTAGCTCCTAAAAGTAAAAAACGATGATTTTGGTGTATGAAACGATAGTTGAGGATGAGATAAGAAGCGAAATATGTGTTATAAATGTAAAGGCGCCTAGTAATCATAAATCCGTTGTAGTCTAGCTGGTCAGGATACTCGGCTCTCACCCGAGAGACCCGGGTTCGAGTCCCGGCAACGGAGATCTTTTTTGCGTCCGTATTCTTGTAGAAAAACAATAGCTTTGTCGTATCATGTAAAAAGTTCATGTAGAAAGACGAAGAAGGGTTCATGTAAAAAGACGAAGAAAGTGTTGTCCAAAGACTTTCGCATATCCTGGATGCAGTAGTGTCAATCAATGTAAGGAAGCAGGAGGAATCTGAAACTGTGACTCTCGTTGTTCGTTTGCTTTGCAACGACAGTTCTTTTATAAGAGTTTATTACAAGACTTAAAAGTGAAACAAAAGCCTTCAAACAACGGCCTTTTGTTTTGATGATTCATCGCTTTCTTGCAAGCTAGCATAGTATTTGACAAGAACATTCCATCCACTGGGACACATAAACCCATCTGGAGGATTCTCCCCTGTTCTTGCATACGTTCGCATCTGTACGCAAAACAAGAAAACCGGGAAAACTCAAGTTATACTAATCGCAATTAAGCAAAAATCTTGAGAATCGGAGCCTTCAATAAGAATCTTAAGACTCAAAACTGTCTCTTGCCTTTGTTCCAGAAATGAAAAGAAACTCTTTCGCACGAGAGGGATCAAAAAACGCCATTTTCTTCTCAATTGTATCGTAAGCTGCAACCTGAAAGGATACAAATCACAGACAGAGGACACATGACCAAGATTTGAAGCACCAATAATCAACAAACTTTGCTTAATAGAGACAGAAATGATTTTTTTGCTGTACCCTAAACGGAAGAATGTTTAGTTTCTCAAGCCCAGGAGCCATGCTTAAGACTTTCTTTCCATGATCAGGATCATATAGATCTCTCTTCTCAGTAGGATGGCCCATTCCCGCAGGGTCACGACCTACAATATAGAAATTAGCACCAGCATTAATCCTAGCCTTGGCGTGCCATTGAACTTCGGTTGGACCAGCATAGTGCATCGGTGAAGGAAATATCGAGACAATAGTGGTCTCCGGGTCAAGAACTCCATCTTCAAGAACCTATACATCATAGACCAAATAATTCATTAATCTATCGGCATATGAAAAATGATTCATAAGGAGGAGCATTTTCACCTTGCTATGTTGTTCCATTCGAACATCAAGAGGAACATCGTCAGCTTTTGTGAAACCTCCTAAAGGGTGAAGCAAGAGGACAGGATTCTTGTAGCCCATTTCCAAAAGCCTTTTTCTGGTATCATTCATCAACAGAGCATGGCCATTGTGCACAGGGTTCCTTAACTGGAAGGCAAAAACAGCATCTGCCTGACGATTGTCGAATTCTTTCCTAAGCTGTTTAGGAGAGAGCCTGTAATGATCAAGCCCATCGTTATACTTGATCGGCTGGAAAACTTCTAAATCGCCACCGATCAGCCAGTTCCCAGATGGAGTGATGTGTTCTTCCACATATGGCAATCCTGGAGAAGTAGTTCCCCAAGTTCGAGCAATTCTTTCTTCCTTGTTGTGTTTGTATATCTCTACACTGCAATTTACAAATCAACAAAGCCATCGAATTTCATATACAAGACAACCTCTTGGCAAATTTGTTTAATTGAATGTCTCCATAGCTATCAAAGAAGCTCTTTTTACACATTTAAGACACAATTAGATGCGAAATTGCATTGTTATCTTCTTGAAGAAAGCCACCACCGAAGTTGTGATTTTGATCTCATATTAGAAGAATCTCAGCACTCTCACCACCAAACGATTACTATATACTACGATTAGAAGAAAAAAATGCCATTTTGGTATACATTTTACCTTCGGAGAGAACCGATAATATCTCCTTGAGGGCTAACAAGAGCAACACACTTGGATGATCCGATCTGTTCTTTGGTATTATCATCAATGGCAAGAACAATAGGAAGCGACATGTTCACATGAGTCCCATCTTTTAACCTAAGAGAATTGAAATGCAAACTCTGCAGATACTCGTCTTCTCTCATGAACCCTTTCAATGGACTAGCCCAGCCTTCGCTGATCACATGTACCCACGCCAGATCGATCTTCGTCAGCTTCACTTTCGGCATCGCCTCTGATTCCGCCATCTTCGGCCCAACCTCCGATTCGGGTACCACCAATTCCACTAATTCCCCACCGTCTGGGTCAATCAAGGAGCTCTTAACAGTCATCGAAGAAGATGAGACAGATTGCATTGTTGGGTTGCGTTTATACACCAAATCGACGAACGGGTTGTGATTGAAAGAAGAAACGAACACTAATTTGGACGGGATTCGATCGGTGAAAGAGATTAATTTTGAGTTTCTAGGTTGGAAGAGATTGAGGTGAGATTGAGAAACGTAGGAGGATCTGATCAGAAGAGACATGGATCTTGGTGAATTAAGTGAAGCGAGAGAAGTGGAGAGCATAGAGTGAACAGTGAGGCTGAGATTTGGGGGAACATGTTTGGAGGAAGATGAAGAAGACGACGAACAGTGATGGGCAGAGTGTTAAAAGAGATCCACACGTTTTTAGTTGCCACTTTGGATTTTTACTAAAACAGTTTTTAGTTGCCGGAATTTTGGTTTGTGGATGGAATTTTTTTTAATTGCTTGTACACTTACCATAATGCAATACAAAACCATATACAACACTAAACTAAAGAACGTTCATGCATATACATACGTTTACGGAATGAAACAAATAAAGGCGTGGAATGAGTGATTCTAATTAAAAAAAAATGGACCTCTATAAGAAAATCTCACATGAAAGATTCTAGTGAGGAAGACGTAGTAACCAAACTAGACAAAAGACCAACCACAAGAGCACTGTTGTAAGTGCTTGGCTCGTTTTGCATAGAATTGTTCCTTGCGTCTATAAACGTCTCATTCAGAAACGGTCCACCAACAAGTGCACCATAAGCCACGTTCGGGTTTGGTTCCTCTGACTGAAGCCACTTGAATCCATCTTTGCATCCTGTGTTTGCATCTGCTGGTATCGAAGCTCCTCTATGGTGCACAAATTCTGGATATTTCTCACCATATCCCACCAAGTAGCTCATTTTCTCTGGATTTTTCCCTAGCATGTAATCAGCCTGCCAAAATTTGTGATATCGAATTGTAACGCGTGCGGCTAACAATATGTATATATATGCTTATGTCTAATAAGGTCATCAAAGAACCTGGGATCTGGCGAATTTTCTGAGATCAGAAGGTTTGAAGGATGTGTCACCACAAGAGAATTGCTCAATACCAGAGGTGAGCATGTAGTCACTATAGAGTGTGGCTAAAAAAGCTGAGGACACAGGATGTTGCATTGCATTCCATTCAGCAACCCATATAAGACCACCTATATATCAAAAATCAATCGAGAAAAAAAAAAAAAACTTAATTCAACCAAGATTTCTATGTATATATATATATATATTCTATCATCAGAGAAATGTATGGTTTATGTAAGAAATAAGAAACTCTACCATCAGTTCTACTAGATGTAGCTGTTGGGGAGTTTGGTATAAGCCCACACATGACAGCTTCTGCTGTTTCTTTATAACCTTGAAGCCCTTTGCTTCCTGATAACCCTTTCTTGAAGAAGGTCAATCTTGATAATAGTATCTGCAAATGGTATAACTAATTAAGCAAAACCAAGCACAACAATGATCCATGATTTTTAAGCAAGTGCCTTGTCTCTCTCTATATATATACCATGAAATGGTACAACTAAAAGCAAGCAAGGACAATATGATTTGTAAGCAAGTGCCTTGTCTTTATTACCTGTGTTCCTGGAAGCTTGTTGTCCCAACTAAACCACGAAGGGCTTCCAAAATTTGCAAACTCGTCTCCATTTTTAGAAACAAAATCAAGGTACGTTTTGTCCTCTGTCGCGTGGTAGAGCCAAGAAGCCGCCCAAAGGAGCTCATCGCCATAGCCCGTGGAGTTGTAATACTTTTGAACCGCAGGAATGTTGACACTGTAAGATCCTCTGTTACTGTCTGCAAAATCGAAAAGCTGCTTCGCGTGCTTCAAAAGCGAGCTTGAATACTTGGGATCACTTTCTTTAAAGACTAGAGACGCTGCAGCCATGGCCGCTGCTGTTTCCGCAGCGACCTCAGTCCCTGGAGTCTCTGTGTCGATTTTAGTGAGACTTCTCTTCCTCGACATTGTTTCTGGTCTGTCCCAACATTTGTGATCAACCTCTGGATCTCCCACCTGGATATAGAGCACGTTTGCAGAAGGATGAGCGTTGATGAGGAAGTCAGTGGTCCATTTGAGAGTGTGTTTAGCAGGATCCAATTGGTTGAGAGAGTCCATTTGATCGGCGTACTCAAGAATCGACCATGAGAGAACTGTGGCAGTGAAAGCCATTGGGAAGCCAAACTTCATGTGATCTCCAGCATCGTATAAGCCTTTGGAAAGGTCGAGACTTGCTTCGTTTCCATCCTTGAGACCTGAATCTCCTCTCCATGGTATCTTGTTGTTTTCCAGCTTACCAGCTTCAGAGAATATTAACAAGATTCAAACTTTCAGAATAATTTTACATAATATGTGTTTTGCAGGGCAATGTATACGATTTATAAACGAGAAAAGGGGAGATTATGATTAGGATTTATTTTTACATTTTTGGATATCGAAGAACTGCATAGCGATCTTGAGAGCATCGGCGTACTTCTTATCAATGGATCCAGGCGGTCCTGGAACGATGTCGTCTCCGTCATCGGAACGGTTTGCTTTATTTCTGATCGTGATAACGACGGCGAGCACAACAGCGATCAACACGAGAATCCCGATGAACCAACTACAACAACAACATCTCGAGCTCGATTTCGCCATCGTCAAAATGTGTTACACAAAAACAGAGGAAAATTTCGCCAGAGCTAGATTGGTCCGATGTCAATGGGAATGCATTTAGGGATGGTAGAAGTTTTGCTAGATCTAGGGACTTTTTTGAAAAATCTAAAATCACGAAGAAAGATTCGAGAGAGGAAAGTAACAGATTTTGGCTAAAAATAAGGAAATGTTGGTTAAGAGAAATTGATTAAGAGAGAAACAGAGACACCGACCGACACAGAACAAACCTGTAACCACGCGGGACGAGATCCGTTTACCTTTTCCTTGCGAATTTAATTTCCAAAACTTAGTCATAATTACCGAAATATCCTTTACTCGAATGGAAATAATGAAGATGACTCGCTTGTCCCAATTGGCGGTTGCGATGATCTTTGACATTTTATCAATTTTTTGGTGATTACTTTAAATATCACTTACCTGTAAAATTCATTACGAGTCAACTTCAAAAGCACGTCGCCTGTTTCTTTTTCTTGTTTTAAAAATGGCTATGAGAAACAAAGATTCGGTTGTCCAAAACAAAAAACAAAAAGAGAAACAAAGATTTTTGTAGCAGCTAAAAGTTAAACTATATTTTGACCAAAAAAAAAAAAAGTTAAACTATATTCAGATTGTCATTTAAATAAACCAAAAACAGCTACCTGACATTTGTAAACTTTGATTGTGATGCGAAAAAAAATTAACAAATGTATGTGGAACTGCGTACGGGCTTGATTACTGGGCCAGATCATTAATTTTGGCCCATAAATATGCAGTCCAACTTCCATATCTATACAAGAAGAAACGTGCCAGCTTGGGCAAGTTCTTTTTGTTTTTCAACTCAAAACCCTAAAGTTTGAGCCATGAACGATGAAGAGCCACTACTGAAGAAGAAGAAGATTAAGCTGCCAATAGAACCAACATTGAATCTTTCACTTCCAGATGATTTGCTAGTGAGCATCGTAGCCCGTGTCTCGAGATTGTATTATCCAACTCTCTCCTTAGTCTCCAAGCGCTTCCGCTCGCTCCTTACTTCACCGGAGCTTTACCAGACCCGGTCACTTTTAGGTCGCACTGATATTTGTCTCTACGTGTGCTTACGGTTCTCGCGTAGTGACCCTATCCCTAGATGGTTCATGCTTTGTCAGAGACCCAATGGAATCCTAACCAATGATACTAGGAAGAAGAAGAATAAGTCAAGTGGTTATGTTTTGGCAACACTCCCAATTCCACATTCTCCTCCTGCGCACGGGTCGGGTCTCGTGGCTGTTGGTTCTAATATCTACAACATTGGCGGATCCATATACGATTCACCCTCATCTAGTGTCTCAAAACTGGACTGCTGGTCGCACACGTGGCTCGAAGCTCCAAGCATGCAAGTGGAGCGTGATTACCCATCAGCCAATTCCCTTGATGGAAAGATATACGTAACAGGGGGCCTTTATAAACACTACGACCCATCAAAATGGATGGAAGTTTTCGATCTAAAAACAGGAACTTGGGAGCCTGTGTTGAGCCGTGCAGGTAGGTTGGATTTTTATAGCCGTCATGATCGAACTCATAACTTTGTGGTTGATGAAAAGCTATACATTATTGGGGATAGGGGTGTGACTTACAACCCCAAGGATGGTTCATGGAATAGTGTAGGATCGGAGATGGAATTGGGTTCGAAATGGTTTTCTTCGTGTGTGATAGAGAACGTGCTTTACTATTATCATTATGAAGACGAGTTCAAATGGTATGACACTAATGCAAGATCCTGGAAAACTTTGAATGGTATGAAAAAACTGCCCAAGTTTGCTCGTTATGCCAATGTTAGGATGGCAGATTATGGTGGGAAAATGGGACTTTTTTGGGACACGTCTGTGGCTTCTGGTGGTGGTGGTGGTTATCAGAATAAAAAGATCGCAATAGTGAAGAGATTTGGGGGAATGTTGAGTGGTTTGATGCAGTGCTTCCACATCCAATTCCTGTGGAATATGTATTTGAGTTTGTCGGTGCTGTCAACGTTTGATGATGAATCGCATAATTAAGAGACGTACACTTAAATGTGGTGAACCTTTAGTGTGATTTATGTGGGTGTTACATCCTTTTATTGTCTCTCATGTTTTTAGTTTACTGTAAAGACATTATTTCATTTGTAATGTTTTGATTGTTGGCTTTTTTTTTGGTGGTGCTAAAAGGACTATGAAGCTCTGTTTTGGTTTGATTAGAGAGTGTTTGGTCTTCTAGAAGAGTATCTTAGTTTTCTTGTTTTGCTAGAAGAAAATAGATGATATGTGCTAATTGAGATTAAAAGCGTATTTTTAGATGATGATGGCTTGAGTTTACAAAATGATAATAAATTTAATCTCAAATATAAAAGAATGTGGGTTACCTAGTTTTACATCATTCAGATATACGTAAACATCATGTGACATATAATTCTTTTTTTTTTTTTTGACATCAAGTGACATATAATTCTTTACAAGCCATTTGATGGCTTTTTGGCCCCATTTCTTTTTTTACAGTTGAGTTGGCATTGTAATGTTGATGTGAATATCTACCGATCACCAAGATAGATGCTACTTTCTTTGCTTTAATAATTCAAAACAATACCCCTCATCCTCTTTTTGTCGACAAACCTTTTTCCCCGGTTCGGCTTTCTTGGTGTATAATCTAACGATTACCAAAACTCTAATAGTGTGATTAGTTATGTTAACCACAACCGGATTTATCTGGATGTAACCGCAATTAAACTGTTGAATACCGTTTGGTTAGGGTTTACCAGTGTCTTGCTTGAGACATTTAATTTGATGTGGGCGTGAAAGCTATTTATTTTTCATAATTAGAAAGCACCATAAGCATAAAGTATGTCAGCATGCTAACGTTATGTTTCTTTCTACTCATCATATAATACACTTTATGGAACATGAAATAAAATTTTTATTATTTTCATACCAAAGTAATTATATAGATTTTTTTTCTTTCCAAAATTCCCTAGAAGAAGAATTTACTAGGACGAACAGATATAGCCATGATTATTATTAGTTTAGAAATTGATTTAAACCAGGAGGAAAAATTAAGATCAAATTAGTAAAAGAAATCAAATACCAAAAGATTCAAAAGAAAAACTTACAAATTCCAAACCATGTTTGTCATACTCTTATGAACAATATAGCCATGCTTATTAATTATTTTGGTAATTGGTGTAATCCAATCACATTCAGAACATCAATAGAATCCATTGAAAAAATATGATCAAATTAGTAAAAGAAGAAAAATTCCATCACAGGATTCACAAGAAAAGCTTGGATCGTAAGTTGGATTTTAGGAGTAGCAGCGATAAGGTAAGGTGTGAGTAGAGTAGACTCATTCTTAATGTCCCAGAAATCATATCCTAACCGTCCATTTCAATTTGTAGGGGATTAACTTATAGAAATCGTAGTGTACGCTAGGTTAAGAAGCAGACGATTATCCTCCCCTTCTAAAGAGAAGTAAATATTTTGAAAAGGACTCGTAACGAAACCCAACAAAACAGTGAGTTGAATTTAAAACAACCGCTGGTATTTTAGTAAAGCCACAAATTTCAATTTATAATTTATTTTACTTTTTCCTCATTTTTATTTGTCTCTTTCCGCGCTCTCTCGCTCTCGCCGCCGACTGCGTAACGGTCGCCGGCCGCATTACTCCGATCAATTAGTTCCGTTCGCCGCCGTCTCGAAATCAGTTCCGCTGCCGAAGTCTACTTTCAGTATTCCGATTCGATTGCATTCTCATTCACTTTCCTAAAGGAGGTAATGTTCATTCGGTGGTTTAAGCAGAAATCGATTCCTCATCCTCATATGGTTTTAGATTCTGTTTGTTTCTATATAAAGCGATCGATCTGAGCTCGTCACTAACCTTAGCTTATTGTTTGAATTTCTGTATCAGATGCACTGTTGTGCTTTCTCGATTTTAGTCGGTTGTGTATAATCGATTTCAATTTTGTTCATCTTCTCTAGATTCGTAACACTGATTTCAAATTCGAATTCAAAGGCCGAGAACTCTAAGACTACTCCAACTAATTGAAGCCAAATCATATTTACCTGAATCCTTTTGTTCTGCTTCTTATGTGTCACGTTTGAATTTCCTCTAGTCATCTCGTCGCCGACACTAATCTCATTTTACCAGTTAGATTGATGAACAGTAGATTCGTACACTAATTTCTCGGTTTCAAGTGATTTCTCGTGCTTCAGTATGTGTAGATCGTTGAGACCATACGATGATCCGGCTATATGTTATAGGGTTTATCATTCTGCTTGTTATGAATATTGCTTCTTGTTAGTTGAAATTGGATACTCACATCTTTGTTGTCCATTCTTCAGCTCATAGTTGGGATTTGCTTGTCTATAACGTGGTTTGATGATACTTCTTAAACATAATTCTTATTCCTCTTTATCAGGTGTGCACAATGATTGGATCGTTTCTAACAAGAGGACTTGTGTATGACTCTCATCTCTTCATTATGGTTCCAGAGGTTTACTTGACCAATTTTTTTTTATGAATTTGTTTTGACTTTCCGAATGTTGGCAGGATGGTATTTGGATATGCGTATCCTGCTTATGAATGCTACAAAGCGGTTGAAAAGAATAAGCCTGAGATGCACCAGCTTCGATTCTGGTGCCAATATTGGTTTGTGAATTGTGATGATGGATTTCTCATATTTTCTTATCTTGAGCTTCTACCTTTAGTTTTCCATTTGTAAAGTCTAGCTTCCTCTTAAAACTACCTGCAGGATTTTGGTGGCTGCTTTGACGGTTTTCGAAAGAGTTGGCGATGCTGTTGCTTCGTGGTTAGTGTTATTGATATCGAAGTACTTTCAAACGAATAGAGATATTATAATACTTAGATTTTGTTTCTGTCCTGTTTTCATGAAGGGTTCCACTGTATAGCGAGGCGAAACTGGCATTTTTCATATATCTTTGGTTCCCCAAGACCAGAGTAAGTATAGAGACTATTATGTGATCCACTAGAGTTCTGTCTCATTGCATTTTTCTCTCTGTGTTTATATACCTTTCTTTCTACAGGGAACTACATACGTTTATGATTCTTTCTTTAGACCATATGTTGCCAAGCATGAAAATGAAATCGACCGCAACTTGGTTGAGCTAAGGACCAAAGCTGGAGATATGGCAGTGATATATTGCAGAAAAGCAGTTTGCTATGGACAAACAAGATTCGCAGAGATCCTGCAGTTTGTAGCTCTACAGTCAACACCAAAGCCTCAACCAAAGGTAATATATGCACCTACCAAATACCAAGTACAATAAGCTTGCATCATCTACTTCCAAAGGCTTATGAAACCACAATAGGTTTCTGTTGTACAATGGTGATAATGTATATGGGTTTCTTCTCTTGATTCTAATTTTCACATCTGACATTAGGAAAAGAAGCAGTCGCCACCAGAAGAAGAGGAACAGAAGCAACCGGATCTTAAGGCGGCGAACCAAGCAGCTTCTAGTCCTCAAACTCGTCCACAGTCCAAGAAACCGCTGCTTCAAACCAAAGAACCTATAGTGGTAAAGCCTATTTCATCTCCACGTAAGCAGCAGCAGCAACAACAACAACAACAACAAACAACGGAGACCAAGGAAGCAAAAGCAAGCTTGGCACAAACCAAACTCACTCCTCTTCCTCCACCATCATCACCCTCAACCGCCACTAAACCAAACGCTGATTCGGCACAGCCATCATCAACTGAAGCAGAGAAAACGTCACAGATTGTTGCAGCGTTGCCAGCGACTGCGATTCAACGAGCGTCGTCGTCCAAAGAGACAATAATGGAGGAAACACTAAGGGTCACTCGTGGGAGTCTGAGAAAAGCTCGTTCAACGGGAACACGGTAACTAGGTAATAGAAGAGGAAACACACAAGTTCAAAACTCTGCTCTTTAATGGTTTTCTTTCTTCTTACGAAGTCAGCTTAAACAGGAATAATCGATTTTTTTTTATTTGTTTTTAATGGTGTCATTTGTCATTTTAGTCAGATGTAAATTGTTCAGACTTGAGACTAAGATTTGGATCTGTCCTTACCTGAGCAATACACACACATACACAAAAAAGTACTCCTTTCTTAAATGGTTTCTGTTTACGAAATCAGCCTAATCAATTAAAAACAAGGGTAATTCCGCTGCCGGGCGTCGATCCCGGATTTCATCGATTGAATTAACCTTTGTGCTACAGCGGATCTGATGATATTGTTTCCTGTTAACTACTTTATAATGTCTACTTTTTATATTATTTCTATGGTCACATGTTCTTTTTTTTTTTTTGTTAGACAGATCGACATATGTTTCCTAAGTTAATAGGTAATCACCAACAAGACAGTATACTGCTACCGATATTTACAAAAATGAACATGTTTCAATATTTCTACATCATAACATATTAATGACGTCACAATGCATGCGTCATGGCTGAGAGTGAAGGTCTCTCAATAATGGAGGTTGAGTTGTGTGGCGGCAACATAATAAATAAATAATTTTTGTTGCAAAAAGATATGTATATCGTCTTACCAATGGCTTTCCCTTCTTCACCGTTAGATTCCATCTCGAAGATAAGATCACCCCAAAACTATATTATTCATACTAGTACCCAATTATTGTTACGAAAGATATATTCCAACATGACTAGTGTCTTATTTATTACAATTAACCAAATGCCAAAGCGTTATTTTACAAATAAAAACACTATTGAGGTAGAGGTAGAAAATATCCTTCTATGCGTCCCTCTCAACCCCGACTATAATTATCCACTTTTTGTGTGAGCATTCTTTAGCACCCACGAGTCCAAGAAGACAAAACACAAGATCAAAAATATGAGCGACCCAAGCGGCGGCCAGACTTCAACAACTACTGTCGGTGGAGACAACGGCGGCGGTAATAGCGGCGGTGGAAACGGTGGTGGAAGCAGTGGCACGTTTGCTCAGCCGCAGAGAGCAAAGGTGAGGAAGCAAGTGTGGGCTGGAGTTCTTGGCATCTCTTCCATCTCCACCAACAAATAATATTTTCTCATAAATTTCCTTTATTACTTTAAAAAACAAGTCCAAGTGAAAAAAATGGTGGGCGGTGATTACTATGCTTGATCATCGTTCTTCTTAGTTAACTGTGTCTTAATAACAATCTAGCGAGGTCATTAGACCACCGTCTTCATTGTAATGAGATTTTTAATTATATATTCTTGCCTTCAACTTCTTCTGCAATGAATTTTAGAAAATCCTCAAAAAGTGATTCAATACTATTGTGTCTAGAAACAATAAGTTTGATAGATGATGTACGTCAACAATGAATTTTAGAAAACCTTCAATAAGTATCCCACGGGTTTAGGTTTTCTGGTTTATAAGATTTTAATTAGTTTGATATATGATATTTTTTTTTAGGCAAAATAAAGCAAATTTACCATACACTAAACAGATACATGTCATTTAGTGTCACCATATGGACTTGAATAGACCAACCTCGAATATTTTATAACTCTATTAGCTTACAAGAAAGTAGAAACACATATTGGGCTGTCATTTAAATAATCTTTGAGCAAACCATACAGACCCAGAAGGTCTCTAATTCACAACCACTTATCCAAATAGATTAATGTATTGTATATACACTATTAAACCAATCGAATTCATCTTATTTAAAGATTAGTCGTAACAAATTGAGAGAAAGGATATACAGTATAAATAGAGTTAGGCTTATTATGATTATCCAGTCCAGGTGTTGTTTAATCTTAAAGTAGAAGACATAATCATAACTGTCTTTAAGTTAACTATGTCAGCAAGTATAATTAAGTTAGAATCCCTCATCCATTAATCATTTCACCGAAAGCCTTTGCACTTCTTTGCAAAAACATACTCATTTTAAAATCAAACTCTTGTTTTGTTCTCTGAACAATGATCTTTAAAGTTTTATTATTATTTTTGAAGTTAACGTTACTGACTGGTCCCAAATGTCCTTTACTAAACAAAAACTAGGTAAAAGCCAAGTGTACATGATGCATCAGGACCACAACTGATTTCAACACCTGATTATTACTTACTAGTATAGTAGTACTACACCTTTTAACTTTACCTTAATTACATATATAATCAACTCATGATTAACCATTGATCAACTCTCGGCATCATGTTTCTTCAATCTCAACGAAAGTCGCGGTCTCAGGAAATTAAATTCAACATAATTCCATGTGATAATATAAGCTACTCCCTTTGTTCCATAATATAAGATGTTTTACTAAACTTTATACAGATTTTAATGTTATTTGATATTTTTGACTCTTTGAATTCTGCAGTCTTTTAATGATTGGTTGAACTATGTTTTTAATTAATAATTAAATGATATTTTGTTTTTATTTTTCTTACTCTCCATGCTTTTAGCTAGAGGTGTCAAATTGGGCTCTGATCCGCGGGTTCGGCCCAAGTAAAACCGCAGCGGTGCGGACTTGGGCTCCATAAAATTTGTCCAAATAAAATGCGGGTTTTGCGGTCCAAACCTGCGTAGAAGTTGGGTTTTTGCGGGTCGGGTCAAAGCGGATCCGCGGGTTTGCGGGCCAACCCGCAAAATTTGATGTTTTCTTGTAAACTTCGAAAAGTGAAGTATTTTGTCATTTTTATTGGTGGATTTCGATGTAGTAGTTTTATGGAATGAATCAAAGCCTAGTGGAGTCATACAATTCAACTATTGGGCTTTGTGGTAGCTTCATTTCAATGAGATCAAGGAATCATCAAACTAGTATGTGTTTTATATTATATTCGATTCAAATTCTGTTATTGGATTTTTGAATTTAGAAGAAAATCTGGTCATTGTCTTCCCAGCTAAAAACTAGTATTTTTTTAAAAGTTTTAATTTCAGTTTAATGTCATAAGTTTGTTTTTTTGTTGGTTTTGCTCATCGACTATATCACGGACGTGGTATTTCTTTTGTCCGCAGCGATACAAAGGTAATTTAAAATCGCTTAAATCTTGAATTGACAATAAATAGTTTTCCTTGAAAATCACATTTGTTTGTACGCTAGACTAACAAATAAGTTGTCTTCATCTTTTTTTTTTTTATATATATGTAAATGTCTTGTTGCTTGTATCTTGATGGTTATTTAGCTTAAATTACCAGTTTTTATGTGTATCATTATTTGTAATTCATTTATTTGCATTTCAAAACTAAGTGTCTATTTTTACTGTTAAATTGATTTTTCAAATCTTATGGTATCATAGGGTTAGGAGTTTTGTATAAGAAGTTTATCGAATTCATTTGTTTGTTCATCGAATTTGCTTACACAAGAATTTTCTTTAGTTTTGTTTCTTATGCATATTGTGATTCAGTTACGAGTAAAATTTTATTTTCCTCTTGTAGATTTTCTGGTACTATAAATCTAAATGTCATAAAAACTTTAAGATGAAAAAGAAAGTATGAACCCGCGGATCAGTCCGCAAAACCGCAGAATATAAGCGGGTCGGGCTTGGACACATCAATTTGGGACCGCAGCTTATGATGGGTCAGGCCGCCAGACCCGAAAAAAATTTAAACCCGCAACGGGTCGTATTATTTGGACGCGAGTTAGCCCGTTTGACATCTCTACTTTTAGCTAGAAAATCTTATATAATGGGACAGAAGGAGTACTTTCAAAATTCTACAATTCAGTCAAAAGTGATTTAAGGTTCAGTTTCATAATTCTCATCAGACATCTTATTTGATTTCTGAAAATAGTACTATATATATTTCATGTATTTTGTCAATATACTGTATACTTGTGCCCAAGACTTTGTTGGGTTGGTTTCAAAGTGATCATAGAAATAATTAAATGCATCCTGAAGATGTTAGCTGATTAATGCATCGAAGTTCACTTTGCCAAAGACAAAGGAAGCCCATACAAATGATTTGTTCACATGCAACATCATACACTTAATTTCTCAACTAATTTGTTAAATTACGTTTATATCAATCCTTTAAATTTCAATATAACCCCTTTTTGTATATATAAAAATCAATATTTTGTTTTTTTTTTAAAAGATAGATTAATTATGAAAAGGCCTACCAATCCCTTACTCCTATATATATGAGAGCACAACAAATTCAATATCAAACAAAAGATATGTAAGACAGACCATAAGAAGCTTTATATAGTATACACCAAACTATGCAAAAGCCATCTCAGAGAACTCCTCCTGATACACATTCATACTCCTGATCACCATTCATATAAACGAACCATTTAATCATCATCATCATCATCAACAACAACAAGATCTTCATAGCTAGGGTTCTCGTCTTCCATGAAGTTCTTCACCAAATTCCGCAAGATTCTCATGAAGATCATCTTCACCCTTCCTTCCTCATCTTCCTCTGCCACCGTGCGCCGTCACAAAACCGCCAACTCAATCAATGGCGGTGAGAGGCTAGAGACGCCGAAGATATCGTGCAGTAATTCGTACTACTCCTCTCATTCTCACTACAGTGAAGCTATCTCAGATTGCATTGACTTTTTCAATAAGTCATCGATTAATAAAATGTCTCACCAAGAACCTAAAGACCAAATTGTTCATGATCAGGACTGTTTTTACGTATTTTCAAACGTAAAAGAACCGATGTGAATGTAATCATGTTCTTTTTTCCCTTTTATGTGTGTGTTTTCTTATTGTGCTCGGGTATCACTCATTTTACGTTCTGAACATTTTCATAAAGTTTTTAAACTATTGAATCTAGTATTATACTTGCTGGTTATATTCCTTTGGCATAATATATACACGTACGTACGCACGAATGCTTTAGTTCGTGTGTATGTGATACTAAGGCTTCTAGATGATCGGTGAACTAGATTATCTAAGTGTATCTATTCATAAAAAATGTTATAACGTGTTTGATGATGGCGAGGAGAATGCCCCGTACGTTTTTCATCTCGTGTTTGATGATACGTTTAAGTCCAATCCATAAAACAGCTGGTTATATTTTTTAAGCGTCAAAAGTTGGAACTATAAAGCGTTGTGTCTGATCGTGGAGTCAAAACGTCATCACAACGAAATCCGAACTAAACATTACTATGGAAAACTAATTCTGATTAATGCTTCTTTGCTAAAAAATATATTTAAACTATAGTATATCAAAATCTCTAATCATTAAAACCTCCATAAGCTCAAAGCAACCCATTAGGCAAAGCTTCTTACACCACACCAGACGGGAGACGAAGAACGAGCTGTCCACCCATTAAACTGTTCCCGAAAACAGAAAAGGTTCCAAATCTTTAGCCATTCAAACCATTTCAAAAGTAGTCTATATACATGGAAATTTTACAAAAAAAGGTTTTACCTTTGAACATAGTAATAGCAGAAATCTGCAAGAATGAAGGTTTGGATGATTTCAGAGAGAAGAACCATTAAAGGCCATAGTCCATACCCTAATGCAGTCAGTAACCGCCCTCTCGAATCCAACACCTACACACGTTTAAATAAGCTTTCAGAAGCTGTACAACGAAACCCTCAACAAGAGTTTATAACATGTGTAACTCAAAAAGAACCTGAAGGATCCAGTGTGCACAACTCAAGAACCTAGCGATTCCCAAAGCAAATACGTAATGTGCTGTGAAAGGTTCCACGATCTGCGAAGAAGACATAAGCATTCAAGTAAGATTCAGACAGAAGATGTTTTTTTGTTTTATTTAATAGAGCACAGAATTGAATAATAAACCTTAGTGTTCTGCATGACTCTTAATTGAGGAAGAACTGAAACAGCTTCAAGATAAACACAGAATGCCCAAAAGAGCCTGTTTATGATGTGGTGACGTGTTGATGGGTGAATGAGGAAAGCTACAACAGCACATGGGATCACCTGAAGCAAGAAGAAGAAGAAGTTCTCAGAACAAATATTACATTAATATCAAGATTCTCAATGATCACTACTCTTCCAATCAGTAAACAAGGTCACAAAATTCTCTTATTGATCTCTACTGCTTACGAAAATGTTAAGTACAATCAATGAAGTGCTACAAAGGTATCAAGATTTCCTATCCGCAGCTTCTGAGTTGCCATTTTCGAAGAAACCTAGCATTTTGCACATAAAAGCATTCTTCTAATACACAGGATTACAAAAAAAGAAAAAGCACAAAGTAAAAAAACTTACAACGTAGTATATAGCAAAATTGTCTTTATCTTCCATATAAGTAGGTCTAAGCTTGAAACGGATCATATAGATGACCCAAAGAGTCGTAACCAAAGTAGCTGAATCGAGCAATGTGTGAAGATCAAATTCCATTACAAAACTACAATACAATCGGACAGCCAGAAACAGAGCCGTTAGCTCCTGTGTCTTGAGAGATATCCCTGGTTGAATCATCAAATTTCAAAATTATTAGACATTTCGATCACAAGGATCAAATAATTAGAAGCCACAAATTGACAAAATCCCAAATTTCACAGTGGATCAGAAAATCAAATCCAATTCAGAAGAACCCCTAAACATAAAACTCTCAGGGAATTCAATTACCAGCGCAAGTCTTCTCTTTGGTGAGCTTATAGATGAGAACAGAGATTCCGAGGGCATGGACAGCCTCGGAAGCGATGAAAAGGTTGTCGTGCTCATGGACAATCACCCTGAGGAAAACGAGCACCGTCATTGCCGAAACCACACAAAGAAATGCCTTTACCTTCGGCGGCTGCCGGCGAATCCACGACATCACGGACTGAATCGGACTCTTCTCCGCCTTCATCGTTTAGATTCCCTCCACAAATTCGCCAAATTAGTCAGATCTCTCTCTCTTTCTCGTGGTTTGAGTTTTCTCCGATCAGTGTGTGATTAATGATGATTATCACACAACTAACTTCATTTTCATTTGCAATTAAGAACGAATCTGTATATTTTCTTAACGCAACCATACAACAACGCCATTTCTTTCGCGAAGAGGACACGTGTGGGAAGCTAGAGTTGCTGTTAGGTGAGAGACTGATAGTTAGTGAGTGGTTTTATTGCAAAGGACTTAACTTTTCTTTTGCATCTCTATCTTTTAATACCAAAAAACCGGTTTGGTTTTAAACACGAATTCACAAATCAATATCCATACCATGCTCCGGTTTATTCAACTTTAAAGACGCATGTTTAATCGAGGCCCATCAAGGGCGCGTGTGCTGTAAAAGGCTAAAACTTTAAATACACCGAGAACTTTGAGAAGAACACTTTTTTTTTTTCGTCTTGTAACTTCTAACGGTCTAAAATCTCTCTCTCTCTCTCTCTGGTCAATTTTTGTTTTCTCTTACCACTCTTGTGCGACGTTTGCTTCTTCTATTGGAACTGGAACTTGGTATTGCGAGATGGGTGTGAAATCGGTTACTGGAGATTCTTCGGATCGGGAAAGCTGGGGTAATATTTTCAAGACTTTGGTCAAGATTCTACAGACGAAACAAGACCAGATCGAATCGCTTCTAAAAGACAGGAAGATTATTGAAGATACGCTTAAGACCAAACACGATAAATGGATCTCTGATGCTCGGAATTACGAGGAACGACTGTCTCTGGTAAGATTTTCCCCCTTTTCGATTCCTTGTTTCGGAGAAAGTTAGGGTTTTTTAGGGTTTCACGCTTCGCGAAGTCGCTGGTTCTCTCAATGTCATTGTCAGGGAAATTTGTTTTGATTTCTTAAGAATTTTGAACTTAAATGTATTGAACTCCCTGATTTTTGCTTTTCAGATGAATAGAGAGATTGAAACGGTGAAGATGATGCTACTCGTTGAGACCTCTAAGTGTAATCTCTTGTCTGGATTAAAGGAAAGGGATCTTTCTCTTTGCAATTTGAAATTAGGTAAGTGAATATTTCTAAAAACAAATTCAAAGTTCGCTCCTGTCTTTTCCTATATGAGAACAAAGTTTCATCCTTTTTCCTTCTTTGTTTCATGAAAAACCATTGTGCAAATTTCAGAACCGACGGTGGACGAGTTAAATGACTTCAAGGCTTGGTTTGATTTCCTCACTCTGAATACAAACGTAAGTAAAGTTCGAATTTTTTTAAGCTCTTTTGGGTTTTTGTTCTAGGAACTCTGTACAAATGCTTCTTCTTTTATATTTAAATGTGCAGACGCAGAAGGAAAATGGTAACTCGGAAGCTGCGGATAGTAAATCATTGGAAGCAGAAATCAGAAAACTGAAGCTTGAGTATGAGAAGCTTGCTTCTGAAAAGAAATGCGAGGTATCTGATCTTTTACGAGAAAACGGGTTTGCTTGGAGGCAGTTCAAATGTATCGAGAGTGGATTCACTGATAAGTTAAAGAGGAAAGATGATGAGATTGTTCAAGCAAATACGAAAATCTCAAGCCTTATATCTTATCAAGAGGAGCTTCAGTCATCTAATCAAGAGAAGGATGAGATTATCTCAAGGTTAAAGTCTAAAGTTGCTGAAATGGAGACTAATTCTAATAAGAAGGATGAGGAAATCTCAAAACTCTCACGTGATGTAGAGTCTTTAAAGAAGTCTCGTAGCTTTACACCAGTTTTAACTCGATGCACAGCACGTGATAAAGGTAGCAGTGGTAATACTGTAGGATCTCATATATCTACTAAGAAAGAAAAGTCTGCTGCATCAACACCAAATGAAAAGGTACTTGTGAATTTGAATATGCATGTTTGTGTTTGTGTTTTTACATCTTGGTTTACTGAAGCAGCATATAAGCTTATTTTATGCTTTTTGAATCTTTGATTTAGGAAATTAAAAGCTCGAAGAGGAAAAGAGTGAACAAGACACCAGTCTCAGTTTCAGAAATCCCAAAGCTGTTCACTTCAACATTTAGAGTTCCCAAGTTAAAGCCTCCATCTGCTGGAGCCATATAGATTATCTTTTCATTGTTTGTGTCTGCTTCTGTTGGATTTAGAGTTATAGAAATCTGCATGTAATCTATCTCTGTATTTGGGATCATTCCCCTGATGTATATTTGCTTATATAGTTCTTGAGAATTTTCCCCGTAACCCTTACATTTATTTAGGTAGGAACCTTGTATTGCATCTAGCAGCTGTCATTTTTCTGTATCATTTGTCAAACTTTCCAAAGATTTTAACAATGCAACGAGAGATTGTTTGCAGAAGAGTTTATTCTCGTTTGGGTTAAAGTTGAAATACCAGGGATTTTGGCTGCAAAGCAAATAGATGAAATGAGTTGTTGCAACAAAGTGGTTCTACATTCTGTCCCTATTGAGAAAAGTGCCAAGTATTGCCACGTTTCTTATGTTTCAGCTCACACAACAGAGAAGAGACTATATAGACGGAAGAAGGCTCCACATTAAGAGATATTTCAAGAAAGAATGCATTGTTATGCAGTTGATTTCACAAGAGTGGAGTTAGAAACAGTTTTGGAGGGAAGAGATGTAGTACAACTCCAAAGAGAGGTGAAACTGGGTGTGGTCATAATCAAAGGAGAAAAGGCTATTGTGCTGGTGGCTACTAAGGAACTGTGTTGTCAGAACACAATGGCTATATCAAGGAATTGTTCACATTACCACTGTCAAGGTTTGGACAAAACAGGAAGTGGTTTACATTGTGGTCAGGAGTATGCATCACTATATGTAACAATAATATGGCACTAATGGAAAAACAAGAAACTGCAGGAAATTGGGTTGGTACACCTTCAGTTCGTACCACAAAATGGAGAAATAAAGAGATTATGGTTGCAGATGAAAACAAAAGGAAGCACTATGAATCTGTCACAACAAACCAAATCCAGTTTAGTTACAAATCGTTGATAATGTGTTGCTTTTTTAATACTGCCATATCATGAGTTGATCAGAGGCTAGTGTATTGATTCAAATCGTGGATAATATCTCCTCTTACCGGTCTCCATGGAACCTGCGGGAAAGCTGGAAATCTTTAGGCATCACGGTCACTCTCTTGCTGTGTATGGCACAGAGATTGACGTCTTTAAACATCCTGCACAGATATGCTTAAGCTGCTTCTTGGAGAGCAAGCAGGGCATGGGAGTGAAACTTCATATCAGGCTGCATGGAAACCATATTGTTAGTAATCATTTATAAAGATTAGTCCCACATTTCAGATCATGTTTTCACAAACCTTGAGATCTTGAGCAATCTCACGCACAAGCAATTGAAAAATTGTCATACGGCATCTCCTTTGGTATTTTCGAATCTCTCTAAATCCAATCAATAAGACAATATCAATCACTATTAAACATGAAAATGAAATACCACTTAAAAAGTAACCTCAAAGGTCCATGTCCAGACAGGCCCATAAGCAAACAATTTTTTTGGCCATTAAATATTAATTCAAAAAAATAAACATATAAAAAATATAAATTTTAGCCATAAAATTCAAACCTAACACGTTGGATATTACAGATTCTGACACTACCAACTAAACTAAAAGGATTTTCCTCTAAAATTTGGTCCCTAAAGTTAATAACCCTTTCAAACCCTGAAATCTATGCTTCATTAGTTTCTATCACAGTCCAGCTCTAATTTTGTCCATTCACGAATTTATTTTTTCCATTCACGACTTCATTCTCTCTAAATCCAATTAATAAGACAATATCAATAACTATTAAACATGAAAATAAAATACAATGTAGAAACTAATCTTAAAGATCCATGTTCTTAAAGATTATCTCCATTCACGACTTCATTTTCTATAACTTCAAGTGCTTGAACAACCACGACTTGATCAATACGATCAATCTGTGGATTCTCTAGAAACATCTGGATTATCTTGAAAGATGAGTTGATCCATACGACCCAAAGAATCTCCTCTTACTCCCTCGTTCACCAGCTGATTTCAATAATAATCTCAATCATACTCGATTGAATCACACCAAATGTATATAGATTATGATGATCGAACAACATACCTCATGACCGCCGCATCTTGAGATTAGTTTCATACAAACCATTTTAAGAGTAAGAGAATCAATTTTTTCGAATTTTTCGAACAAGAGAAAAACTATGAATTTTGTGTTTCTTAAAAAATTTCTTAAAACATTGAGATAAAATAGAAAATACCCTTGGTCAAGCTAGTTTAGTAGCAGCGACAAGGGTTATTCTTCTTTGCCACATATGCGTGCACGAATTGGTCATCCTCCTTATGTGAATATCATAGAGGTTAATACGTTCAATGAAACAAACGAGATAACATTGGCTTAGAATTAATAATATTTTGTAAATTATATTTCAAATTCAAAATATGCTAAAGATTGTTCATAATAAAATAATGAGACGTAAGTGTTTTTCCAAGAACCATGGTCCGAAATTGATTTAACCCCTTTAATATACTAAATAAAGAATTTACAAAGAAAGATGACAACTTTTGTACATTAAAACTGATAATCGTTGGATCTTTCTATTATCACTATTTCTTTAAAACATTTTTAAATACTTCAACAAACAGAAAAGTTTTTACTAATTTACCGGATTCTTCTTTAAACCATCAGATTTTTGATTCCGGTTCAACTAATTGATTTTGCTTTTCGGTTTAGAGGATGAAACGACGCCGTGTAAAGTTCCCATTATTTTTGGATTAGGGCACAATTGATGGAAGGGAAAAACACAGCGGTTTCCTTCTCAAATCTCCCCCAAATTTTCTGTCAAGGTTTCGATCTTTTGTTGATAGAAAAAGAAGATGCCATCGGAGGATGCGAAAGCTGTGAGGAAAGAGGAGGCTGAGGAAGACAACAAGAGCTTGAATTCCTTTGTGAGGAAGAAGGCCATGAATGCAAACAATGCTGGTTCGTCTTCGACAGCTGCGAGGAAACTGAAGAAAGAAGAGAACGAAGACGATGATGATGACAAACCCATCAAATCATCTTTATCTGGGTCTCGCCCAAAGCCCGTAAAGAAGAAGGAGATTGATGAAGACGACGATGAGAAACCCATTTCCAAGAGAAATTCCTCTGCTGGAGCCTCAAAGGTTTATTTTTCTCTCACTCTCTCCCTCTCTGCCACTCTCTGTGTGTAAATTCTTAGAGATGAGATTAGTGTTTCAGAAATTAGGAAATCCCGGAAAATTGAGTAATAAGTGGCGAATATAGGGAGATTAATATAATCGTTAATTTGATGAAGCCTTGTGTTGGTGTCTCTCTCTGTTTTTTAGGAGAAAGAGTTGAAGAAGAAGACAGAGAAAGAAGAAGAAGAAGTAAAGACGAAGAGTAAAGGGAAAGAAGAAGAAGCAAAAAAGAAGAAGAAGACAGGGAAAGAAGAAGAAGCAAAGAAGAAGAGGGAAAAGAAAGTCTATGATTTACCTGGTCAGAAGAGAGACACACCTGAGGAGGTAATTATTCACTGTCTTTTTCTCTGATTTTAGATTTGTGGCGAATTCGATTGAAAAAAAAACTTGCCTTTTTGATTTTGTAATTCTGCAGAGAGACCCACTTAGGATTTTCTACGAGTCACTTCACAAGCAAGTTCCCACTAGCGAAATGGCTCAGATTTGGTGAGCATTTCTATTCCTTTGTGTGCCTACATTGTTGTGAACCTGATTATTCTTTTTGATCTCTCTGTGTGTAGAACTTTGTGTTACACCAAGTTGAAATATTCCGTTTATTCTCTCATCTTCTCTTTTCGGTTTTCCTCTGAGACTTCATGCCTACTTGTGTTAGTTATTATACTGTCTCTGACTCTCTTCTGTGTTGTGACACTGTCATTAAAGCTCACATGAATTTTGAAAGAGACTCACATTGTTCGTAAGAAAGGCGAGTCCTTTAAAACCAACCACACTGTATTATATCTGTGATGGTTATTGTGTGGGTTCTGTTCATCACTTGCCGGATTGCTCTGTTTATTTGAAAACGCTTTGTGAGTTTTTGATCACAGGTTGATGGAGTCTGGGTTGCTTCCAGCTGCAGAAGCGAAAAAAGTTCTTGAGAGGAAACTTCAAAAGAGTGGAAAGTTCAGTTCTCCAGCAAAATCTGCAGCTTCTACTCCAAGAGCCAGCTCCAAACCAGTGTCCGCGAAGAAGGAAATAAAAACATCATCTGAAGCTTTGTCAGGCAAAAAGAAAGTAAACGATTCGAAACCAACTGCGAAGAAGCGGAAGATGGATTCTGATGATGATGATGATTTCCTGGCTAGCAGAGTCTCTAAGAAGTCCAGAGCCAAGTAGTTGAAATGTGATTTGAAACTATTTAATTGTTATTTAGGGACTTAATTTGTAGAATTCCTCAAAGTCGAATTCTGTGAGATCAATGGCAGAGCTGGTTTATTGTTTCTGATACATGTGTGCACAGAAGTGGGACATAACCATGAGTTTTGACTTTCAAAGTCTCACTACTTCCTTTTGTCTTTAGTATTTGACCTTGTTTTCGTTTCCTAGATACGGCAGGACCCTCGTAATATTGGAGGATTGTCCACTGAGATCATCGGCTTTTATTATGAGTCTCTCACACCTTAAAGATTGAGCGGGTAATTTGCTCATCACAGGCAATTTTAAAACCAAACAAAGTATCCTCAAAGTTTACAAGAGTATTAACTTACATCATTTTTTATGATAAGTATAATCTATATATAATCTAATAAAATGATACCACATTATTTTTGTTGGTAATACATCTTAATTTTTTTCCCAAAGCTATTAATAAAAACTTTAAATGGTTTTATTGAATAACTGTATTAAGCTGAACATATATTATTGACTTGGTAGAATTTAGATAAATAAATAAGTAGTGTGAATTATTTGGTTTATTACAACCCAATTCTTCCTTACTTTGATGTTATATTTTTCAACGGATGAATTCTACAAATATCATGATGTGTAAGCAGATAAACCACTGAAAATGCTTTTGCAATAAAATGAGTTATATCTGAAAGAAAGATTAAATCAGACGCATCAGGTATCACGATCTTAAGTCCTCTTAAAAACCAGGTACACGCATGTTTGTTTTCAGAGTCAACTATCCCAAACGCAAGCGGATACAAAGAATAATCTTTGTCTTGTGCACTAGCTCCAAACAATGTATTTGAATTTTGTTCAATTTAGATCCATCTTAAGATAAATCCGTACAAATTTTTAAAAATATACTATGAAAATAACTATGCAAAGTAGTTGTGGGTATATTTTTTTAATCGAGATAACTAGTCAATCAATTTGTTTTTTTAATATATTATGAGGTTAACTAAGTAGTTGTGAATTGTTTAGTAAATATTGTGTCATGTGATATAGTTGTAAGTTAGATTCACATCATATTTTCTTGTTCCAAATCGCAGCAGGTCTTGAAAAAGTAGTTTTTGTGTTTTATATTCAGATTCATGTCTAATGATATAGAACTCATAGGCGGTATTAAAAAAAAGACGTCAATTTATACAAAATCAAAAACATTATTGTTCTAATTTCGTACAAACTTATTTATAGCGAAGGTTTCTCCATTCATGTGGTGCATCAATTTAGGAATATGAGAGATTGTTTAAAGAAGTGAGACAGAAAAGAATTGCCATATGTAGATCCAAGAGGCTCAAACTTCTCCCACGTAATTTTGCTTATTGCTTCATTACCTAAGCTCATGTCATAACTGATCATACTTCTCATATCACGGTGATATTCTTTACGTTTTCGTTTTCTTTTTCATTTTCTATATATATAGTTTTAAGTAGAAACTCTAAATTTTAATTTTGACTGGGAAAGTTTATTGCGTTGTGTCTATTTTTGACCCACAACGTCTCCTCTGTCTCTCATAGTTTACATATCTCAAAAGATAAATTAATAACAACGATCATCTTATTTAGTCCTTAATAAATGAAGAGTGGCTTATACTGTATACATGTATCAGAAATGTATGTTTTAAACCAAAATTTGCGTCAAAAAATGGTAAAATTTGATTTTTTGTCTAAATAAAAAATTGGCAACTTAATGAAGATGTGAGTGTGACTGATCGATGTTTGAAAGGAAATGCGTGCAGAAAAGAACACGTTTGTAGTTATTACTAGACACAGTAGCTTGAGAATTCCAATAAATCAATTAGACAAAGTGTTATAAAAAAGACTTAGATTGAATAACAAAAGCTAGATTTCACGTTGCTTGCGATCCACTTCACGAAATAAGACGAGTTCTTGTTCAATACGTTGAGGATTTCCTCATTTAGTTATTGTAGTCCCACTCTTGCTGAATTCAGCTGTCCCGGGAACCTTAAGGAGCAAGTCACACCACTCGTTGTTGCAGAGATCAAATAATGGTCCAAGATCCTCCAAGTTGAATCATGCACCAATATTTAATTAGTTTCAAACACCTTTTGGACTGGAGGATAAGGATTCGATGTATTGGTGGTGCATGATTCAGTCACGACATATTAGATGAATTAAATGTGTTTATCAAATAGCAATGAGAGCATGCATGTCTGCATATGAAAATGTCTATACAAAAACAAATTTAATCATTTTTCTCAAGTTGTAGAGGAACGTAAGGGAAAAAAGATGTTATTTAAAGAAAAAAGAGATTTATTTTCATTAATAATTATATATTGTCAATTATATTTTTTATATTTTTAAATGACAAGTAAGAAGAAACGAATGCGAATATCAACCTTTTCAATTTCAGAACTCGATCCAGTTAAATCAGAAATGGGCCATGTAGATAACTCAACGAGCCCATTATTTAAAAACGATATCGTACCAGTTTAGATAACCCTAGACTTGCTCCATCATCCTTTAAAAGGCCATCTAGTTTTCTTCGTTAGCTGTATCGCCGGTCAAAACTCGTATCTCTTTTCTTTTTTCTTCTTCTCTCTATAGCTTTCATCTTTGATGGTCTTTGTTTTATTTTGCAAAAGAAAGCTGAATTTTTTTTGTGTTTTTAATGTGAAAGAAGTTAAATTTCAAATGATGAGATTTGATCTAAAATTCTCACGACGGTCGTCTGAGACTATGTGTCGATTGATGTACCGATCGCTCTTCTCTGATGAAAAAACTTTTTCCATTCCCAATCTCGTTTTGTTTTCAACCAAAAACTCGTTGATTTTTCATTCTATGTTTTATTTTAAAGTTTCTTAGGGCAAAAGAGATTCATCGCCTTTGTTTTGTATATCTTTTTTCGCGTTTTCTCTTGATGAATACCAGAGATGAGTTAAATGACTTTAAGGAGATGTTAGAATCATTTAAGAACAACAAAGGACAACAATTGATGAATTGAGGCTCTATATTTTACACAGAAAATTCATCTCTCTTAACCGCCATGTCTTTCCTTGTCCGTAAATCCTGAATATCTCTTAATTAAACTACAATAAGATTGTGAATATAATGTTGTACAGGAAATCGTTAAATCAGAATTCGATTAATTGTTGAGGAATTATAAAAATCTCTTACTGAAATTGTAATATCAAGACCGTAATATCAGCATGTAAAAAAGAAGAGAAAAAATAATAACTCATGAAAATTGATTCAAAAAACATCACAAAGTGGATTGGGATCGGTTTTAAGAGATGGAAGTGCTTTGGTTTGGTTTGAGATCAGTACCGAGACTTGACTCTATATCTAGCGGCTCGAGTGTTTTAAGCATTTGGTTTTAGTGAGGTTACTTTTGAAGTTGATGCAGCGGTCGTGATCTCAGCGATGCAAGAAGCTAACAAAAATATATTCTCCATGACATCGACGTAAACAAGCTTTTAAATTTTGAGCAGCTAGAGTCACTTTACAGCCTAAGAGAGAAACAAAGTAGCTGATCTGAGGATCTCATTGCTGAAAATCAAGCTTTGTGTTTCGAGTTTTATTGAATCTTTCATTGATTCTGTAGTCCCTAGCTTGATGGAAACTGATGAGCAATCTTGTAATCTGAGTGTTAAGGCACACACTCTTAACAACAGAATTCTCTCTCGACACAATCATCTGCGTGGCATACTTGTGTTTTGCACGTGCTGGAGTAAAGTGTGTTAATCCGGTTCGGTTCTTACGGCATACTGTATTTGATCCGGTTTTAACTAATTTCCGGTCTAACCATATTGGTACGACCCCTGTTTTAATATGGCTTACTGATTTTATATTCTGTCGATACCGTATAATGCGTTACATACAAGATATTTTTTAAAGAAAAAACAAAACAAAAGAGATACATATAGCTTCTAGTCAAATAACGATGACCACAACTTTGATCAACGAAGATACTCTCTTCTTCAAACCTCATCCACCCAAACACAAAATGTCTTCCAATCCTTCTCTTATCTCTCTCCTTCTGATTCCTTTTAATACTCCCTTGAAATTTTCTCCCAATTTCATTTCATTTCATTTCCTCGGCAATGGCGACTACTTTGAATGCTGCTGTTTCTCTCACATCTTCAAAATCTTCTTCTCTTCCAGCTACAAGTTGCGCCATTGCTCCTGAATGGATCAGGTTTGGTAAGGTATTGTTTTAGCTTTTCTCAACAGGATTATGACGAAGACATGAAAGAAGATCAAACAAGTGTAGTCGAGTTCTAGATATGAAGACATGAAAGAAGATCAAACAAGTGTAGTCGAGTTCTAGATATACTCTGCTTTTAAGGGTCTTGCTTGATCTTCTGGGTCTTATTAACTTGTTCAGTGAAGTTTGCAACTTGGATAAATGTGCTTCTGTTATTTTACTATAAGATCTAGAGAATGAAGAACATTTGGAAAATTGATTGATGATTTCTCGATTATCCTGAGAAGATGGTTCCTAGATCAGTGTACTAGATTAGGTCTCTGGTTTGTTGTTTAGTTAAGTTTACAGCTTCTGGGTTTTCACCTTAATATCTAATCTCTCAAATTTTCCCCAAAAGATCTCAACTTTTGGAAGATCAATGTACTGAGTTTCATCTGGCATCTGATTGGATCTTGATTAGGTCTCTCTGGTTTTGTTTGTTTGTTGTTGTGTTCTAAAGGGTGCTTTTCAATACAAAAGCAACAATGCAGTGACAGGTAAAAGATTGGTTTCCGTCAGAGCTGAAGCCACAACAGATACTCCTGTGAAGAAAGTAGAGAAAGTGTCTAAGAAGAACGAGGAAGGTGTGGTTACTAACAAGTACAGACCAAAGGAGCCTTACACCGGAAAAGTCCTTCTCAACACCAAAATCACAGCAGATGATGCTCCTGGAGAGACCTGGCACATGCTTTTCAGCCATGAAGGTTTGGATTCCATTACTTGAGTCTCACCCAAAAACAAAAGCTTCGTACTTTACAGTTCTACGTATGATTCATCTCTTGATGTAGCATTTATGTGTCTTCGATAGGAGAAATCCCGTACAGAGAGGGGCAATCTGTTGGTGTGATTGCTGATGGAATTGACAAGAATGGAAAGCCTCACAAAGTCAGGCTTTACTCGATTGCAAGCAGCGCTCTTGGAGATCTCGGCAATTCTGAAACCGTAATTGACCATTTCCTTTAAAATTCTACGTAAGAATACATTTTGTGTCGTCGCCTGGTTAAGTAAATGAACAACTTATTGCAGGTTTCTTTGTGCGTGAAAAGGCTCGTCTATACTAATGACGCAGGAGAGACTGTTAAAGGAGTTTGCTCAAATTTCTTGTGTAAGTACCAGTGATACATACTTGCTTTTTCCTCAAACTTCTTTTACCTATTCGCTTTCAAATTTTCTTTTCTATTTTTTAGGTGACTTGAAACCAGGAAGTGAAGTTAAACTCACTGGTCCTGTAGGAAAAGAAATGCTTATGCCAAAGGATCCAAACGCCACTGTTATTATGGTCTCTATCCTTCACCTCAAATATCTTCACATACTTATGATTCTCTATAAATCCTAATTCTTGAAACAACACTAATCACTAATAGAACCGTTTTCTTCTTAATGACAACTACAGCTTGCCACAGGGACAGGAATCGCTCCTTTCCGGTCTTTCTTGTGGAAGATGTTCTTCGAGAAACACGATGACTACAAGGTGAGTGCATGCTTCAGTCGATAATCTTTTTGATTTTGACCGAATGTATACGAAATCTAACATCTTTGCAATCGTCGTGATGCAGTTTAATGGCTTAGCTTGGCTGTTCTTGGGAGTGCCAACCACTAGCTCATTGCTTTACCAAGAGGCACACACACCCAAACTCTTCTTCTGGTTTCTTCTAATTTCTCAAACACTTACAGTTAAGTTAATCCTCATTTCTGTCGTTTGATTGAAACTCAGGAGTTTGCTAAGATGAAGGCAAAGGCCCCCGAGAATTTCAGGGTTGATTATGCGATAAGCAGAGAACAAGCGAACGAGAAAGGAGAGAAGATGTATATCCAGACCAGAATGGCGCAATACGCAGCTGAGTTATGGGAGTTATTGAAGAAAGACAACACTTTTGTCTACATGTGTGGTCTTAAGGGCATGGAGAAAGGAATCGATGACATTATGGTCTCACTGGCTGCTAAAGACGGTAAAACTTTCAGATTAATAACACTCTAAATCTTGAAACATCCGTTGCATAATTAAAGGTAATGAAAGACTTTTTTTTTTTTTTTGGTGATGGTTTAGGTATTGACTGGTTTGATTATAAGAAGCAGTTGAAGAAGGCAGAGCAATGGAACGTTGAAGTCTACTGATTAAGAGCTGTTAACATTTAATGGCAAGTATAGTGGAACAAAAGTGTAATTTTCCCATTCAAATTTCTGTAATTTGGAGTAAGTTTATTTAGATATATTATACTAAAAAGGGGTTTTTCTTTCTTATCATCTAGTTGCCATTATTTTCTCTAAGATAGGTGAATCATTGGTATACCCATCCAAAAAATGTCAAAAATGTCAATTTTATCTAAACTCTGATAAAAACAAATTAATTGGTTAGAGAATTGCCTTCAATTGACACTGATATTTAAAATGAAAGGTAGATAAGCAATCCTCTGACAAAGAGATGAGTAATATCCAATCTTATCGAAAAAACATTATCAAATGAAAGTCTACTATAAAAATTCATGCATCTATTTAAACAAGCAATGGTTTGAGGTTTCTTAGGACACTTGTATAGTCGAGTAGTTGATTTTGGGTTAGACAAATTCATCTGAAAAACATTTACGTTACACCTTATAAGTTTACATTCAAACCACAAATTTTAGATTCAAGATATTTTGAATATACATAACATGAGTATGGTTTAGATTTTTTCTTGAAGCTGACCAACAGAAAAGAGAAATCTAGCAGGCTAAATGTTTCTTCTCTCTTTTATCTTTTTGTCAGAGAATCAGAACGGCTAAGTCCTATATATATCCACTTAAAATCAACCACGTCATCAGGCTCACCGTAAGCCACCAACATACATCAACACTTGATTACAGCTGATTAAAAATATCGTCAACAGATTCTCCTTCCTCTTTAAATCAGTCCTCTGTTTTTTTCCCATCTCTGTTTCGCTCTCAAAAGAAGAAGCAGAAGAAACAGAGCATTCACAATTTTTCCACTACCCAATCATGGCATTGATCTTCTTCTTCTTCTTATCGAGTTGTTTCTTATCCGGTAAGTATCTCCTCTTATTTTCCTGAATCTCACAGATTTAACGGCTGTATAATTATTTTTAAATTTCTTAAATTTTTTTTTCTATTTCAGGAGTTATGTCGCGGAGCTTCATAATCGCGAACAAATGCGACTACACAGTCTGGCCGGGAATTTTATCTAACGCCGGAGTTCCTCCATTACCGACCACCGGCTTCGTACTCCAGAAAGGCGAGACGCGTACAATCGACGCGCCGTCTTCTTGGGGAGGTCGTTTCTGGGGAAGGACACTCTGCTCAACCGATTCCGATGGAAAATTCACCTGCGCAACCGGAGATTGCGGCTCCGGTAAACTCGAATGTTCCGGCACCGGCGCTGCTCCTCCGGCGACTCTAGCCGAATTCACTCTCGACGGATCCGGCGGACTCGATTTCTACGACGTGAGTCTCGTCGACGGCTACAATGTCCAGATGCTGGTCGTCCCTCAAGGCGGCTCCGGCCAGAATTGCAGCAGCACCGGCTGCGTCGTCGACTTGAACGGTAAATGTCCGTCGGAGCTAAGGGTGAATAGCGTCGGCGGCGGGAAGCAGGCGGTTGCGATGGGGTGTAAAAGTGCGTGCGAGGCGTTTCGGCAGCCGGAGTATTGCTGCAGCGGCGCGTTTGGGTCGCCTGACACGTGTAAGCCGTCTTCATACTCGAGGATTTTTAAGAGCGCGTGCCCACGCGCTTATAGCTACGCGTATGATGATAAGACAAGTACTTTCACGTGCGCCAAATCTCCTAACTACGTCATCACTTTCTGTCCTTCTCCCAACACAAGGTGATCTTTTTATTTTTGTCAGCTATTTCATAAACAGCTAATTTTGCTCAAGTTTGGTGAGAAATAAATTTTTTTATAGTGATGACCTTATTTGTATGATGATCCATTAGTAGAATTGTTTTCTTGTTGTATAATCAAAGTCACGAGCTACTCAAATTCCATTGTTTTTGAAGTATTTTGGTTTCTATTAATTTTCGAAAATTATGACTACCTTTTTTTATTATTAGTGATAGATATGGTTTTTTTTGTGTTTTAAGCGATAGATATGGTTTGTCACGTTTATAGCAGAAAGACACATGGAAACATCATTCACTAAATCCTTCTCATTTGCAGCCTAAAATCATCTGAGGAACAGAGCACAGAGACGACGACGATGACAACTCCGACCTCCGGCAGTACGGCGACATCACCGATGGTTTACGAAGGTGCTCTGGACGAAAGCAGTGGCTCACCATCCACGTGTAATTTCGGCTCACATGTAATCTCAGTCGCTTTCTCGCTTGGTTTTTGTCGGATGTGGCGTTTCTTCTGACCAGGCTCTATCTGCCACGTATGGGAAGAAACAATGATTTATGGGTCTTAGAAGGCCGTTTTCTCGTCATTAGTAGAACTGTTTTCCGATTGACCGATTGAGTTTGTAGAAATAGATGATATAGTTGATTTATCCCTTTATCTAATATGTAAGTAGATGATTAGATATTTCAGTTATTCTATATTCATAGAGTTAAAGCCAGACAGATATCAGTTTAGTTTTGATTGGCAACGTTGTATGAACGGTGCAACAGAGATTAAAGGCGTCTAGTCTAACAAATGTTTAAATGCATATAAAAGTAAAGTGTTACAAAAATAACACAAAAAATTGATAATTAGCTCTTTAGAGTGTTTGATTGAAGTTTAAATGAAATGAAAGTGTGAAACATAAATGATATCAGAAATTGTAGTTAAGAACTGATGGGCCTATGTCCTACATTAGTTTGATAATTTCCATTTCAAAAGGCCAACAAAATTATGTTAGTCTTACAAAAAAATAACTAACCAAAAGGGAAATAATGTCAGAAGTGGGATTTGAACCCACGCCCTCTTTCGAAGACCAGAACTTGAGTCTGGCGCCTTAGACCACTCGGCCATCCTGACGTTTTTTGTTTGTAAAACCAATGAATTTATAATAAGTTAATATAAAAATATTGTTTGCATTTACGAGCCGTAGTATCATATGAATTACTCGGTGGATGAAAGTACTACATATTGGAAATTTATTATTTTTGGTGGCCAATTGAAGCTTTATTTATGAAAATCAACTTGCGAAGAGGGGAGTAAAGCTTAATACATGAAAATTTCCCTCGAAAGAAGACATATTTCTACCCTTTGTTTGTTCATTGCTAACATCAACAAGCACGAAGAGATAAAGAAACCAAATTCATGAGCAAAAAAGCTGAAAAAAGTTGAATGATATTTGAAGTAAATGAGGAAACTCCATGGCAAAAAATGCTTTCCATGACAATAAAACAAGGCTAAGAGGAACCCAAATATGAAGGAACAACCTTGAAACGAGCAAAGATCAAGACCACAAAAGAGATGATAGACTAGAATCCTTGGAAGATTGCTTTCAACGGATTTTCTTCTTGGTCTTCGTCTCGACGTTGTTGGCAGCTGCGCAAATCTTATTCCAGCAACGGAAAGAAATGAGTAAAGGAATCAAGACCCACCAACCATTAGCCCCGATATAGTAGGAGTAATAGTAGAAGGAGTTGGTTGCAAAGTTGTCTCCTTCCAGGAAAGCAGTAATGAAATACACAAGGCATCCATAGAGCTGGCCAAGCGAAATCGCAAGCTGAAGCACGTAACTGTACGACTTCCCCTTGGCAATGGCGTATCTGTTCATTTCCAACAAAAACCAGTTAGTTTGACAAGAAATGTTCATTAAAAACCGAGTGCAAAAGATGTTTCACTTGACTTACACAGCAAGAAGAGAAGCAGGGCCTTCTATAACAGCGGTGATGCCTTCAACAGCTATAACTGCAGAATCTCTGCCTGCGTATCTCGAATCACCTTTGCTGTATTCTTTCCCTGGAAAGGAAAAGAGTCTAAGTAAGAATTGTGTAATCGAAAAATAAAAAAATAAACAAAAAGGAAGAAGATTTACTTACAGACTTCAGCGAGGTAACAGGAAGTGTTGTCCTTGAAAAACTCAGGGGAGAAAACGAAGTAGCCCTCCAGAATCAGGTGAGTGAGGCCAGTGAAGGCCCACCAACACATGAGCAATTTGTCAAGCTGCGGTTTCTTCCTCCCTGTCACACCCATCAACAGAACGTTAGACGAAGATACAATTCTCTTTGGTTGGTGATTCGATTTGGATCAATTTCTCAGACTAAACAGGTCGAACTAATAAGGTTTCACTCCGATCTGCTCAATTGAACTTAAAATCGAACATCTTGTTTCGAGAAGGGAATCGAATTACCGAAGAGAAACCAGACAAGAGTGACGACGAAGAGGGAAGCACCGAGGTAGACAGTGAGAATGGAGGACATGGACATGGAGATGGGTACGTATCCGGGCAGTTTCAGATCTCTGGGAACGTAAGGATGCGAGGCTTCCTCCATCTCTCTTTCTCTCTGTCTTTTCTCTTGGGGAGAGGAAGAAAACAGGAACTTGTCTTTCTGCTCAACGACTTAAAACGTGAAATTGTGGAAACTAGATCTGAGACTCCGAGTCGTCGTCTCCCACTCCTTGAAATCATAACTTTTTGTTTTTTTGTCTTCTCGCGGATAATCAAGTTTGATTCTTTTCCTTTTTTTTTTATCAACCAACGTGTTAGAGTTTGAGTATTGTATTTTTATTAAAGTATCTTCTTATCTCTTTGTCAGAGATATGTATGTATGATGAAATCGATAGGCACATTGAATACAAGGCGTACGGTTTGGTCCACGATTTCAATGTGCTTCACAGAATCATTCAATGTCATCATAAGAGCTTATGGTATTGCTTGTATAGGCATTTCAATGTGCTTCATTGAATACAACACTTCCTGTTTGATTCTCATTGAAATCGATAGGCACATTGAATATTGTGAAGCCTAGGACAGATTCGGTTTAGGCTCCCACAACATTTACCGTACTGAGTCCATAAAAATGGACATCTTTTTGGGAAAAATAGTTCCAATCGTCAGTGAATAAACTATAATATAAACTAGACTGTAATAGTTGGGAAGTAAATAAAAGGACATTTTCATCTTGCGGCTCAAAGAAGCTTGGACCAATTACAATATATATTTTTTACTTTTAACATATTTTAGAAAGTTTCTGCTATATATACAACATATATCAGAAAGACGATAGAAGGCACAATAATATGTGGATGCGAGAGTTTGTTTGATAAAGGTTAGAGATGGAGATTGTTTGTGAGGAGACGGAGGAGAGTGATACTCCCTTGGCTTCTCGGTTGTGCCACTGTTGTCTTCTTTCCGCCTCTGGTCCCCTGCAAGTGAATTTGCGAACTTAAACACATGATTTTTTTGATATAATAACCTTTTTACTAGCATTGTCTAAGTTAGGTTCTTCGTGTCTTGTTAGGTCATGTATATTACCTTTGGCTCAGCGACATCATCCTCGATCTCTAACGTGTTTATTTCTCTTGTTAATAGCACGGATGAAGCAGGTTGGAGTCTCCTGTTACGAGAACAAATGTTTTCCTAATTAAGCAAGCCTGAGAAGAAGAGACAAAGAAAGATTGCCAAATGTATTACCTTCTTGGTTTCTGTCTGTTCCTCTGTTTTTTAGTTGATGCAGGTTCTATTTCACGGGCAGGGATTTCAGTTTCACGACCCTCAGTTGATTCAGATTTTTCTTGAACACAAGTCTCGGCGAATTCAGCCTAGAGATGAGAAAGAAGGTTAGCTAGTTTTGGAGCATTATGACATTTGAGGAGAAGTCATCAAAGATTTGTGGAGCTACAGAATGGCTAAACCTGTAGATTCTCAATCTGGTTATCTTTTATGTCCAAGTCAACCATTTCCTCAGCTAGTGATCTGGATGAAGCTGGTAACAGTCTTCTATTTCTGGAACAAAACCAAAGATAATTGGGACTGAGAGAAAGAGAGAGACCGCTCCTACAGCTCCGCAAGAGGATACATAAACCTATTTAAACCAATGTGTAGAATAGAAATCACTCTTGACCTTTCTTGTTTCTCTGAATCTGGGAATCTGCGGGATATTGCAGATTTAGTTTGAATGTTAGACAGCCGGTTGTTGATGCGACTAACTTCACCTTGTTCTGGTGAAAGTGTTGGATCACTTTGCTCGGTACATTTTTGCTCAGCACAAGAGATCTCCTCGTTTTCTAAGCAAGATTCTATGCTTTTGTTTGGCACAGGAGACTCATTGCATTCTTCTGTGCTGATTTCTCTTCTTGACTCGATAAAATTGCAAGGATCATCATCGATATTACTCTGAAATTAGCAATAGATATCTTTGGTAAGCATATAAGAAAGTGAAGGATCAACAATAAAACCCAAAATCAAATCGCATTCACCGCATTAGCCAAACTTGTGTCAACTTCGAGTTGTTCTTTTGCATGGACGAGCGCTTCTACCTCGGGTATGCATGGTTCTGCCAGGTTTGACTTGGAGTCAAGGCAAGAAGACTTGAGTTTGATCAACTCTGTCTCCAATCCACGTGATTTGAGTTGTTCATTTATAAGGTTTTCCTTTAGACTGCAAATGTCACCTTCTGCAACCTAATAAAAAAAATAGAATAATAGACATTGAACTTACTTCAACAGTGATATATCATAACATCAAGGAAAGAAGCTTCATCACAAACTACTGGTTGTAAATAAAAGGCAATGGAACGACATTACTTTTAATTTCTCGTTGTACTGCTTCAGGACGTTCCATAAGACTCTAGCAAAATTTCGCATGATGATGTGCTCTCTATCGTTTTTATCCGGGGCAACATGTTCCAGCCTCGGAGATGATCTGTCTGTTAGATCAGCTTTCTTTCCCCTCAAATTCACTGGTGAACAATCGTAATAGATACCAAGGAAGCAAAACAAAAATAAGCAAGAGACTAAATCCGTGCAGTCAAAATATTTGAAAGAATTTTCACAGCAAAAACCTACCTTCCTGAGAAATTTGGTTTCTCTCTCCAGCAACAATTTCTTCGATCTACAGATGGCAATATCATCTTTTTTTAGTAAATGAATAACTTTCCAGTTTTACGGAAGACACATTATAAATGCGTATAGGAAGCCAAATTTACTTGGTGAGTCTTGGGAGCACTGAGTTTAATTTTCTTGTTTTTCTCAACTCTTGGAAATGTCTTGAGCTGCCTCTTGTTGCAAAGTTCCTCAGTGTTATCAAATCTAAATAACACACCAAAGTGAAAGACATTAGCAATTAGGAGAACTGTGGAATTCATCTTTTAGTTCATGATAACGAACATTACTTGATTTTCATATACGGTGATGCTTGTTTCAATAGATAGGAGGTATCAAGATAATCCTCTTCTCCTGCTTTGACTGTTAAAATCTGTAAAATAGATATAGAGGAGACAATAATTTTTCAGTATATATCAGGGTCTCCAAAATTAGCTCTTGAACAAGAACTCAAGAAAAAGTTCCAGAAATACGCATACCAAAGCCATCCGCTTTTTTCCTTCTAGATAATCTCGCAAGTACCTTGTTAACTACATAAAGCCAAAATCACATTAGCATATGAAGGGAAACTAAATAACTGGTTGATCAATTTAATTTCTCATCAAATAATATGGAACAAAGGGGTTTTTAAGGAAGATGCTACCAAAGAATTTTGATGATGTTTCTGCAATCCCTTCCTTCGGTTCTTCTGGTACTCCAACAGCGACTGCCAACATATACATCATGCTCATGGTTAGTGGAATTGCAAGCGTAAAACAAACAAAAGAAAAAAAGATAGAAAAAGGTCATCTCAAGGGGGTCTTAAAATCAATGCCCTTACCCGCAAACATTGACCGAAAACCATGGATGTATTGTTGATGAAATTACTCTCAACTAACCTTTCTCCCTGCAAAACAAATCAAACAGGCATACAGGGAACAAGTCTTATGTTACTGATCAAGACAATTCACTTTTTAAACAATTCTAACTGCGATGCTAAGAACAAGACTGGACAACATCTTAAGTCAAGCTAGGAATCTTTTCTCCTAACAATTACGCTGCATCTGTATTTATAATAATGCAAATACTTTCAGGCATGATATATATTTGTAACATTGCATATCATATCAAATCTGTAAGCGAGTCCATATATTAAAGAGTTCAAAAAAATACATTATAACCTGATTTCCAGTTCTCTTCTCTCTTTCTGCTCCCGCTAAGTCCACTATCGTCAGCATAGCCTCACTAGACTGCGTTTTTGGTTCGTTAGAAACGCCATCGGATGCTGCTCTTATGTTAATGATGCATTGTGAGCGACTGAAAACATTCCCAAAATTAGTTAAAACATTATTGAGAAATGCTTTATTCCTTAAGAGTTAAAGCAAGAATTTTGTTGCCAAGTACCTTGATTGGCTGTTTGAATTTGTTGTAGCCGTTGCACGTTTCAGCATTGCCTGTCCAATTAAGGACTCTGCTTCCTCCAAATTCTGGATTGGGACCTACTTAACACACATGGTAGACAAAACAATCAGAGTTACAATAATCATATGAAAACTAAAAACCAAGAAAGACGATAAAGCACAAACCTCTCTCAAACCCCTGATGGTTGATTGCTGCACAGACAATTCGGAGCTTCCATCTCCAAGTAAATCATAAGCTTTCTCCCCTTTCCCTCGTTCCGAGCATATTTCAAATATGGACAAGTAAAATGGCCTGAAGAAAAGAAAAGAGATGTTATGGAACAAGATATCTACTGTGTCTAGCCCAAACAAATTCATTGTTTAATACAGTTTTTTACCAAAAAAAATTCATTGTTAAATACATAATCGACTCAGATGGAAGTATCAGAAATTAAGCTAAATAAAAAGTACCTCAAAGATCCAGGGGAGCTCTCATCGCTCTTCTTGAAAATTTGACGCAGTGTAAGTGGAACAATTCCAGGATCCTTGGGAGTTCCAAAGACTGTGTGAGTCTTCCCCGAGCCGCTAGGTCCCAATGCTGCCAACATTCCGCTTTTCCCTTTCATGAAATCCTCCAACAAAGGTTGAACCATTTTATCATACACATCGTTCTACAGAGAGGGAAAACTCGTCAATTGGTAAGAACCATCTAGAAATTCGACCAAAATGAAGTGTAATTGATACGAGATTTGATCGGAACCTGGGAACAATCGGCGGGGAAAACGTGAGAAAACCCTTCGTATACCTCAGTCTTGCTTCGTTTCAGCTCTTGCAACGCTTGAGGCGGAGTTAGTGTGACCGAATAAGGATCGTTGAGAGCAATACAAGCCTCTTCGCTCTTCTTATTCTTCTTCGCATTCTCATGATTCCTGCTCTCCTTCGCGTTGTTCTTCTTCGAAGGATTCTGGGGCCAGACATTTCTAGGTCTGCTCTTCGTGGTTGTAGCAGCCTTGGTGAAGATTTTCAAGGGTTTGATTCTCAGGAAAATCTTCAAGCTCTCCGAAATAGAAGGTTTCGGTTCGGATTGCGGGATTTGGATGGAGAGAATCTCGTCTATCGGAAACGACGGAACTTCGTGGGTATTCGCGGAGGCCAAGGAGGCAGCAGGAGGCTTAGCTGCAGTGGTATACGGTGTTGCTCTAGCTTTCCTCGGTGGATTCCGTCGCACTGTTACAGTGGAAGGACACGGCGGAGGACTAAAACTTCTCTGGAATTCTTCCATCCTCTCTTTTGTCTCAATGGCGGAAAATGGAGCGTTTCAATTTTCAATTGAAATCCTCTTGGCTCTCTCTCACTCATTTGATTTTTTTGGTACGAAATATCTTTACTAAAAAAAAAACATTTTAAGCCCATATTAGAATTTTGCATCAAGCCCATTATATTTGATACAAGTCATACAACAACTCTTTCATCAATTTTTCTTTCTGCGTTCTTCTATCTCCGCCTCCGCCTCCGCCTCGTCGCCGCCGCCGCCTCCGTCTCTTACTAACCGTAAGCACATCTCATTCGAAACCCGTTTAATCTCTCGAAAATCTCTGTTCTCTGCTTATAAACTCTGCATCTCAGTATTAGTTTTGGTTTTTTTTTTTTTTTGATCAATTTGTCTTTTTATCTTTTCTGATAATTTTGATTTTATGTATGTGGGTTAACTGTATACAACTTGTGCTGGTCAGTTCTATTCTATTCAGGATTTTCTTTTAGGGTTTGATTGCGTTTCTAAACAATTATCTCTAATTCAGGATTTATTTTTAGGTTGGTTTGTCTCTATGTCTTGCTTAAATTATTATCCTAATCGTTCTCCTGGAGAATCCATTGTTACCCCCTTGAGTTCTATTCCCACTATTTTGATTTCTGTAAGCAATTGAAACATGTAGAGATGAGTTATGTTTGCTTCGTTTGCGTTTTTCTGTTAAAGGTTCTCTAATGGAGAAATCTCGGGAAAGTGGTTTCTTGTTCTGTAACTTGTGTGGGACAATGCTCATCTTGAAATCAGCTACGTCTGCAGAATGTCCACTATGCCAAACAACACGAAATGCAAAAGGTATCCATGAATTTCGTTTTGGATTAATATGTTATATATGGTATCCATTAATCTTATTGTGATTTAAACGTCATTGTTTTCAGAAATCATTGGCAAGGATATAGCTTACACAGTTTCTGCTGAGGTATGGTTTTTCCCTTACTCAGCTGTGTGGATTCTTGTCTGGCTAGTTTTGCAGCATTATATAAATCTTATATGTTAATCACAAGATGTGTGTAAATCATTCGCAGTTGATTTTTGTTGGCTAGTTTTGCTGCATCATATAATCTTACATGTGACCACAAGATATGTTTCTGTTCCATGGAGTAGCAAAGACGTCGCTCTTGATTTCTTTTCGTCTATTGTTATTACTAACTACAACTAGGCTGTGAACGCACACAGGCCCTTGTTAGCTATGTAATGAGCAGTCTAAACCCATATCTTGGGGTGTTTCCGTTCTCATTTGGAGTGTTACAGACACTATCCGAATGCGGAGTTAGTATACAACTCATGATCATTGCTTTTTCTGTAGGATATCAGAAGAGAACTAGGAATATCTCTGTTTGGTGAAAAAACGCAGGAAGACGCTGAGCTACCAAAGGTTTATGACAAAACAAAAAGCAAAAACTTCGTACGTTTTTTTCTCAATCTCTGACTTGAGTTTTTGATGATTCTCTTTGCAGATCAAAAAAGCGTGCGAGAAATGCCAGCACCCTGAGCTTGTATACACAACCAGACAGGTAACTCCAAGGTTTTGAAGTCTGTGTTTCAAGTTCTTGTCTTCTCTTTCATGTCAAATGAATGTATTCATCTTGAGTTTTCTTATTTTTCAGACAAGATCAGCGGATGAAGGACAGACAACATATTATACTTGCCCCAATTGTGGCCACAGATTCACAGAAGGTTGAGATTACTAGTATCATCTCCAGTATGCTTCTTGTGACTCCATTCTCAGAGAATGCCAGTTTTGTTTCTTACAATCGATATTAGAAAGTCAATATTCAATGTCATCATAGAAACCTTTTTGTATTGTTTCTTACATTAATGTTACAAACTAGATGTCATTATAAGAAACTTTTTTTCAATAGCAAATCACACAAAAGGAGAGAGTTCTATCATTTTGAAAAACAAGACAGACCCAAACCCATGGGGGCGGGGTTATTTTATTTGTAATGACTTAGCATCGCTTGCTTTTTCACCGGAGCTGTAAAACTCGCCGGGTGTTACCGGAGGCTACGTCATTAGTTTTGCCGGCAGCTTCTGCGTTGCAACGAAGCTTCGGTTTGATCGAAAACCTAGGCATAGGCAAACTACTCGGCGGAGGAGATAGTAACATGATCGCTGGACCGGGATAACCATCAAATCCTTTAGGAAAATCATTCAGGTGGTTAGACCAGACCGGAACCGAACCGGTTCGAGTCAACCTTGGTGCGGATTCAACGTACTCTACGTTCTTCTTATTCTGCGTTTCAGACGTTGCTCTTGCCTGAGCACAAGAAAGAGTAGATCTGTTGACACGTGGCCGAGAACTGTTGACGCGTTGCAGAGGGAGAGTAGAGCTGTTGACACGTGGAAGAGGAAGAAGAGGAGGCTGCGAGTGATTAGGCGGCGGAGGAGGATACGCCGCCGGGGAAGATCCCCAAGACGACGTTGGATTCATCGGAAGAGCCAAACTTCCTCCGGATCTCGAAAGCGAACCACGAGAACCCCTTCTTTTTGGGTTCTTGAATGGTCTCAAATCCGAAACCTGTTTTCCCGGTGAACGTTGCACTGATATTGTTTCCATTGGTTAAAGAATGAAAATTATTTAATATAGTTTCAAGAAAAAAGTGGGTGTTATTAAGAAGATATCGAACAACAAAAATTGGGAAAACAGAGAAAGATCTGTATAAGCGTGTAATTTTAATTTAATGGCAACGATCTACCAAATAATACGATCGAAAGCCCTATACGTTGAAAAAAGAAATCGATGTTTATAAAAGAAGAGAAAAACAAGAGTTTCTAAAACATGTTAATTTTTATACGTAACTTCCGTTACTAGATCCGACGGATCGTCTGATAAAATATAGACTCTCTCTGAAGAACCCTAACCTCGAGAGGGCAGATGTTGCCAGGCACTAGCACGGTTGTTTCCTTTTATAAAGGGAACCACCAATAATAATGCGTGCTTTTTAACATATAATTTCCTTTTTCAAAATATTTATTTGTTTTAGACTAAAATGTTGTGGTATTTTAATGTTATAGCTTCAAGTTTACATTCCATTTGCGCAACACAGCACAAGTCCCGGGAAACACTGTAGGACGGTCACCGCCGAATCAATATGAACCGTTGGATCATGAAATAAGTATTACAATAGCCGTTTAGAGAATCTGAGCCGTCTAACAAGGGATCTGTTTTTAGGTAGATCTTGACCATACACGTCGTTATCATCGGTGGCTTTCTTCCTTGATGACCTCACGTGGAGGGAAAGCATGGGTCCCACTCAACTCTGTCACCGTAGATTTTGATTACGTGGCATCATACCAGCCAATCATTGTTGTCGTGAGGTCTTTCCCGAATAGGATTGGTCGGTCTTCATGCATCGTCTGCATGTGCCTGCCATAAAAATAATATCAAAGGAAGAAGATATCGAATAGTTATTTTATATGGTGGACATTATAATATAAAGCATCGAGGGATATCACTTCGATATTGTCTATTGCGTAAAGATCAATTTTTAGTCCTGATTGTATAATGTTACCATTTGAAGTTTAGAATCACTGAGCCTAGCTAGAAGCACGCATGAAAATTGAATAAACTATTTAGTTAAAGGGATCTCTTTGTAAGATTGCATCCTGCGAATCAAACATTTGTCATTTGCTTGATGTTACCCTCTGAAGGATTTATAGCCAATAGGCAAAACCAATACCGAGTCTTTAATGGGGGATTTTCTTTTCTTTTTTTAAAAAAAAAATATTTTTTTTGGGGTTGAAAAGAGAAAACTCGATCACAGGCACAGCTGATGCTGAGCTAACATAACAAAAATAGATGACATTTTGTCTATAGTATCTCGCTGCAATTATAAGGGTTGATATACAGACGTCGAAAATAACAAAAAACAATATTTTCCCCCAAACTTCAGAAATTGATATGAATCTTGGCCCATATTCTTATGATTATCAGACAAAATCATTATACTTTTAACGTAATTTTATATATTAAAGTTGCTCAACTTTCTTCATATGCTTGACACATCAGTATTAGAGAGGTTGACACCTGTCGCTTAAATTTTAATTAAAAAATTTTAATATTAAATTTTAAAACATTAAAAAAATGAAAAATTCATTTTATTAATTGATTCTTAACTAACATTTATATTAATATTAAACAAAAATTTATGTTATAATTAATTTAAAAATATATATATGTATTTAATTTCTATATAACAGTAGATTACTTAATAATATTTAATATGTATTTTAAATTAAAATTTAAGATTATTTATAATAAAATACTATTAAGTAACAAATGAAATGATGATTTTAAAAATTTTAGTTTTTTTATTAATTAACTATTAATTAATATTTGTATAAATATAAACAAAAATTTATGTTATAACTAATTAAAAATATTGAAGAATATTTATTAATTTTAATATAATTATTAATTATTAAATAATATTTAATGTATATTTTAAATTAATATTTTAATATTTTTAAAATATAATATTAATAAGTAAGTAAGTAACAAATGATGATTATATTAATTTTTATAAATATACATAAAAAAGTTTTAAATAATTAAAAAGAAAAACATACACGTAACGTGTGGGTATTCACCTAGTAAAACATAATAATTTAACTGAAGCACTCAAATCTAGTAATACTAAAAGAACATAATTCAATGAACTGTAGGTGGATATTAAAACTATATATTTTTAAAAAATCTGTATATGAGAACAATAGATATAAATTGAACGTCATATGTAGAATTAGAGAATATGCTTTCTTCCTGTTCAAGAATGTACATTACACGATATATATATACGTTCTATGACGGTGTATGATATTAAACCTAGCCCATCACAATACAAGCCCAAGATATAGCCCAATACTCCCCCTCAAGTTGGAGCATGAAGATTGGTAATACTCAACTTGGACACTAAGTGAGAAAACTGTTGTCGACCAAGTGCCTTTGTTAGTAAGTCTGCGAGTTGATCCTCTGTTCGAACATGAACTGTGGAGATCGTTCCATCAAGAACGGCATCGCGAACAGCATGACAATCACTCTCAATGTGTTTAGTCCGCTCGTGGAAAACTGGATTGGCAGAAAGACTAATCGCCGATTCATTGTCACAAAACAAGCGAACAGGTCCATGATGCGGGAAACCAAGGTCTGTCAAGAGCTGTCGCAGCCACAATATCTCATCAAGAGCATTACGCATGGACCGATATTCGGCTTCTGTGGAAGAACGCGAGACAATGCTCTGCTTTTTAGTTTTCCATGATATCGGAGAACCTCCAAGAAACATAATATAAGAGCTCAAAGACCGTCGTGTAGTTGGACAAGCATTCCAATCGGAGTCGCAGTAAGCGGTGAGACTGAGATCAGAGTCAGAGCGAAACAAAATACCTTGACCAACAGAGGACTTGAGATACCGAACCACACGCAAGGCTGCTTCCCAGTGTCCCTCGCGAGGTGCTTGCATAAACTGTGAGAGAATGTGAACAGAGTACGACAACTCTGGTCGTGTGATCAGCAGATAAATGAGGCGACCAACCAGGCGTCGATAAGGGTGAGGATCAGCGAGAAGCGGGCTAGTATCCAACGCTAACTTGTGATTCTGTTCCATCGGAAACAACGTCGGTTTGGCCCCAAGAAGTCCACATTCAGCGATAATCTCAAGCGTGTACTTGCGCTGTGATAGAAAAATCCCCTCGTCATTCCTAGCCACCTCAAGACCAAGAAAATACTTCATCTTACCCAGATCTTTCATCCTAAAACAGTTGCCCAAATGTTCTTTTAGTTTCCCCAAAGCCACAGAGTTATTACCACAAACAAGCAAATCATCAACATACACCAATACCCGAAACTCGATATCATCGTGAGTATAAGTGAAAAGGGAGTAATCAGCATAGGACTGAATGAAGCCAAACTCTTTTAAAACCGTTGTAAGTTTTGCAAACCAACAACGCGGAGCCTGCTTGAGGCCGTAAAGAGATTTGTGTAGACGACACACCTTGTTAGGATCAGATGTCGAAAACCCAAAGGAAGTCGCATATACACCTCTTCGTCAAGATCGCCATGTAAGAATGCGTTATGCACATCCATCTGGTGCACTTCCCATTTCTCAGCAGCAACGATCTTGAGTAAACCGCATATAGTCGTCATCTTGACAACCGGTGCGAAAGTCTCGTCAAAATCAACTCCTTCGACTTGATGATTACCAAGAATAACTAGTCGCGCCTTATAACGCTCGATAGAACCGTCAGCGTTATATTTGATTTTGAAAACCCACTGATTACCAAGAGCCTCTTTCCCTTCTGGCAAGTCAACAACACTCCACGTTTTTGTTAACTCACACGCATGAACCTCTTGTTCCATAGCATCGCACCAAACTTTATCTTTCAAAGCTTCTTTGAAATTTTTCGGTTCGACACCAGCAGTGATAGCGGCGAGAAAAGCCTGATGTCCTGAAGAGAATAAATCATCAGAGATGTAATGTGTAAGAGGATATGGTGTGTTACCTGGAACCGTGAAAAAAAACTCTGAGTTGAGAGCGGTGAGGACCGGAAGTGTATTATCGAAGCAACCAGCATTATAAAGCATGAAATCAGCAAGCTTCTTAGGGCGTACAATCTCGCGTTTGCCACGACCCAAAACAGGAGCTGTAGGAGAAACAACTAACCAGTCTGCAGAAGTATTCTCATTCGGTAAGACATCTGCGACTGGAGAAGAAACAATGTCGGTCGATAGTTCTGCTGAGACTTCGACGACATCGGTAACCGCTTCCATCGAGGAAGAAGCATTAGTGTCAGAAACGATAACCTCTGTAACTAAAGGAGAACCAGTGTCGAGCTCCCCCTGTCCTCCAACGGAGGTGCAAAGAACCAATCATCAGCATAGTGAATAACCGGTAAAGAGGGAAGCTCTTCGTCCGGTGTGCTCTGCTTTCCCTGTGAAGATTGGAAGGGAAAGATATCTTCTTGAAAAAGAACATCTCGAGAAACAAAAAACTTTTCCGTCTCAAGATCGAAGAGACGCCATCCCTTCTTGCCAAATGGATATCCAACAAACACGCAATGCCTGCTCCTTGGACCAAACTTGTCTTTATCACGTAATCGAACGTGCGCATAACAAGACGAACCAAATACACGAAGCTGCTCATAGTTAGGCTTCTCCCCAAACAACAATTCATACGGAGAACGACCCTTGTGAATCGAGGTAGGCGTCCGATTGATAAGATGTGCAGCTGTTAAAACAGCTTCTCCCCAAAATCTGATCGGTAAATGTGATTGAAAGAGTAAGGAGCGAGCAACGTTTAATATGTGACGATGCTTCCTTTCTACGCGTCCATTTTGCTGCGGGGTGCCAACACAAGAAGTCTGATGGACTATGCCTTTTTCTTTAAAGTAAGACGCCAAACAAGTAAACTCCGTACCGTTGTCGCTTCGAATAATTTGAACAGCTTTGCCAAATTGTCTCTCAGAGTACGCACAAAAATTTTGAAGTACTTGACGAACTTCGGATTTCGCAACTAAAAGATGAAGCCATACTGAACGAGAATAGTCATCAACTATTGTCAGAAAATAATTTGCACCACAACTGGAAGGAACTCGGTAAGGGCCTCATACGTCAACGTGAATCAATTCAAAACACTGCTTAGTTTTATTAAAACTATCTGAAAAAATTTCTCTTGTTTGCTTGGCCCGAAAACAAACATCACAAGGACTAGGGCTAACAGAATTCAAAACACCAACAAAAGGTAAAGAAGAAAACACCGAAAAAGACGGATGCCCTAATCTCCGATGCCACAAGGCTTGATCACAACCCGCAACTGCCTTGTTAACTCGAACTGATGCAACATCCGTTAGATAATACACTCTGTCCCGTTCCTCACCGG